ACCAAAGGAAATGCTTCTTTAAATAAATTGGTTGGGATTGGATCCAAAATGCAAGTTGAAGGTTTAGATGAAGTTAATATTTTTGATAACTCTGAAAGCTCAACTGGATCAAAACGGTTCAAACACAGATGAGGTTCTACAGTTACCTCTGATGCTGCCTCACTTACCGAGGAAGAAGAAATCGCATTAGGGAGGATGCTAAAGATTTTGTTTCTAATAGAATTAATTTTACTTGTAAAAAATCTCATGAAGTCATTGCTGCTGAGGGCTAAGAGATACGATTCTGTGTAAGTTTAGCAACTGTACTGAAAAGAAATTTAGGATTATGCTTATTCTCCTCAATTAGTGCTGAAAAATAAGCAGTTCTAGTTTGTCAAAGCTTATTTTTATAAAGCACAAGACTATTTTTCCAGGATAGGTAGGCCTCCTCATGGTGCGTAGAGCGCCATGTTCTCTCCAATTTCCTAGAGTTTTGTTTTAAGGCTTGTAAATGAGAATTAAACCAGGGAGCCAACTTCCTGTCCCTAATTACCTTCTTTTTTAAAGGGGCAACATCATCTAATGCAGTGGTTCTTAACCTGGGTTCGATCGAACCCTAGGGGTTCGGTGAGTCGGTCTCAGGGGTTCGGTGGAGCCTCTGCCGCAGAGGTCCACCCCTCAGTCTAGTCTGCAGTTAGTGGGCACAGTCATTGAATGCGTCCTGCTCGGAGATTTCCTACCGGTCCGCTTTGAGGTCGCTGGTTTATGCAGCAGAGTGCGACCTCTGTATATGGGCTGTATAGTATGTATGTATAGTAGGCTGTATGTGTCTGAATGAGACTCCCTACAGGTCCGCTTTGAGAGCGCTGGATAAGCAGCAGAGTGAGACCTCCTTCTCAGTCGGGACCAGCGGTGTGCGTCAGTGACGTTGGGTTAGCGTTAGTGACGCCGACCCCACGTCCACCTCCAACCGCCAAAACGTGTGACTGTCGGTTTGTCGTGTGATTTCTTATGGAATATTTTAATCCATGCTAACTATGTCGGGCAAAAAAAGAAAGTGGTCGGACGAATATGTAAAACATGGATTTACATGTATCACGGAACTTGACGGGAGTCAGCGTCCCATCTGCATGATTTGCAATGCCAAGTTGAGCAACTCTAGTCTCGCACCTGCAAAACTGAAGGAACACTTCTTGAAGCTGCATGGAGATGGGGAATACAAGAACACAACGCTTGCTGAATTCAAGGTGAAGAGAGCCAGATTCGACGAAAAGGCCACTCTGCCTGCTCTTGGATTTGTACCCATCAACAAACCGATCCTCACAGCATCGTACGAAGTTGCTTATCTGATCGCAAAGCAGGGCAAACCGCACACCATTGGCGAAACACTCGTAAAACCAGCTGCGTTAAAGATGGCGAATCTGATACTCGGAACAGCGGCTGAAGGTAAATTATCCCAAATTCCTCTTTCAAATGACACCATCAGCGACAGAATAGAGTGCATAAGTAAAGACATCTTGGCTCAAGTAGTCGCGGATCTGATTTCAAGCCTGGCAAAATTCAGCCTTCAACTCGACGAGACCACCGACGTTTCCAATCTAAGCCAGCTTGCCATTTTTGTGCGCTATGTGAAAGACGACATGATAAAAGAAGAGTTTTTATTTTGTAAGCCTCTTACAACAACAACTAAGGCAGCTGATGTGAAGAAGTTTGTGGATGACTTCTTCAGAGACAACAACCTTTCATGGGATATGGTTTCTGCAGTTTGTACGGATGGAGCTCCAGTGATGCTGGGAAGAAAGTCTGGTTTTGGCGCGCTAGTAAAAGCCGACGCACCACACATCATTGTTACGCATTGCATTCTGCACAGGCATGCGTTGGCAACAAAAACCTTGCCGCCCAAAATGGCAGAAGTATTAAAAATTGTAGTGGAATGTGTAAACTATGTGCGCAATAGTGCTCTGAGGCACCGCATCTTCAGTGAGCTGTGTAAAGAAATGGGCTCTGAATTCGAGGTACTTCTTTACCATTCCAATGTTCGGTGGTTATCCCGGGGACAGGTGCTGAATCGTGTTTTTGCCATGCGTGTGGAATTAGCCCAGTTTTTGCAAGAGCACCAACATTGTCATGCAGATTGCTTCAAAGATTCTGAGTTCATTCTCATTTTAGCATACATGGCTGATATATTCGCAGCTCTCAATCATCTAAATCAGCAGATGCTGGGTGGTGGAGTTAACATAATGGAAGCAGAAGAAAACCTGAAGGCTTTTTAAAAAAAAGTTACCGTTATGGAAACGACGAGCAGAGAACAACAACTTCGCAAACTTCCCCCTTCTGGACGACTGTGTAAGTAAGATCGAAGATGTGTGTGGACTTGGAGACATATCTGTACCCATGGAACTGAAGCAAACAATTGCCACGCACTTAGATGAGCTTGTGAAGTCTCTCGATGGATACTTCCCAACAAGAGCATCATATCCAGCATGGGTGAGACAGCCGTTCACGTTTGCTATTGAGACAGCAGATGTCAATGATGAATACCTCAACGAAATCATTGAACTTCAGCAGAGCCAGGTTCAACAGCAACTCTTCAGAACAACAACGCTCTCAACATTTTGGTGTCAACAAATGGAAAAGTATCCAGTTATTGCTAAGAAAGCCCTGGATTTTTTTGTACCATTTGTTACAACATATCTTTGTGAGCAATCGTTTTCGAGGATGCTGGATATAAAAACTAAGAAAAGGAACAGACTTTGCTGTGAAAATGACATGAGACTGGCACTTTCCAAGGTGAAGCCACGCATATCTGAACTGGTCTCTCAAAGGCAACAGCAGAAGTCACACTGAGGTAAGTTGTTTTGAGTTCATGCACTGTGTTGGTTTTGTTATTTGAACAAGGTGATATTAATGCACAATTCATTTCGTGCACCAGTAAAAAAAAAATCATATTTTATTTTTTACTAAAGAAGGGTTCGGTGAATGAGCATATGAAACTGGTGGGGTTCGGTGCCTCCAACAAGGTTAAGAACCACTGATCTAATGCCACACGTAAAGAGGAATTAACATGATGAACTAAGGCAACAATTTGTGAGGGGCTAGAACTGAAAATATTGCCCTCTGCTACATGCCTCTGAGATGCTGAGGACAGTAAAGATGCAACAGTTGATTTAAAAGATGCAACTGCGTTGTCAGATAGAGACCGACTATAGGGAAATTTACTTTCATGTCTCGAGAACTCAGTTATAAAAAACTCAAAGGTTATCAGAAAGTGGTCCGAGAGGACTGGATTATGTGGAAATATCGTTATTTCCTCACACTCTATGCCGTAAGTCAGCACAAGGTCCAATGAATGATGACAGGAGTGGGTGGAGCTATGTATTCCCTGTGTAAAACCAATTGAGTCTAAGATATTACTAAAGGCTACATTGAGGCTATCATTTTCATTGTCCACATGAATATTAAAATCCACCAATACAATGGCCTTATCAGTATTTAGCACCAAATCAGATAAAAAATCAGAGATCTGATCCAAAAACTCAGAGTAAGGGCCTGGTGGACGATATAAAACTACAAACAAGAGTGGTTTTACAGTTTTGCAATCTGGATTAGGAAAACTAAGAATAAGATGTTCAAACGAACTGTAACTATTAATCTGTAAGGGACTGATTAATAAGTCCGAATGAAAAATTCGAAGCCATCTCTCTGTCTCTCACTGAGACGTGCTGTGAGTAACACACACACACACACACACACACACACACACACACACACACACACACACACACACACACACACACACACACACACACACACACACATTCATTTTAATGGCAGGATTGTGCCTAACCCCAACCCTGGCTAACACTAACCATACCCATAGCCAGTCTACTCTTAACCCTAACCTTAAGTAAAACTTACTGTAATAAAGATAAACAAAGGCAGGCGTGAGCTGTATTGCTTTTGGGAACTCTAAACCACATTATTTTATTAATTTACTCCCTGTTCTGTCACTGATACAGCTGTGTGTGTCCTCATAACATTTTGTCAGAGTAAGGGACACGCATGCACACACACACTGCTCTCTTCCCACTGAACAGCTGTCTGCCACGATTTTGTCTCTGGTTTCTTTTGACAGCTTGTTGGTCTTGCCCATGGTAGTAGCTGGAGTCTGACTGACTGTGGGGTGGATAGGTGTCTTTAAAGAGCTCAGACAGGTGCTACTAGTTAAGATTACTAAGTGGAGTAGAGGTGGACTTCTTAAAGGCAGAGTAACAGGTCTTTGAGAGTCAGAATTCTTGCTGATTGCCAGGTGTTCAAATACTTATGTCCAGCAGTGCAAAACAAATAAATTCTTTACAAATCGTACAATGTGATTTCCTGAATTTTTATTTTTTTTTACATTCTGCCTCTCACAGTGGGAATGCACCTACAATGTGAATTTCAGACCCCTCCATGATTTCTAAGTGGGAGAACTTGCAACATTGCAAGGTGTTCAAATACGTATGTTCCTCACTGTACATCACTACTATCTACCATCACTGCACTGGCTCTGTGCTCTACCAGGTTCAGTTTAAGGTTCTAGCTGTTGTGTAGGGCTCTGAATGGCCCAACCCCCACCCACCTATCTGAGCTGCTGACTCCCAAAGTCCCATCCTGGTCCCATCCCATTCCTCATAGTCTGCTGATTACATGCTTCTGTGTGTTTAAAAAATGTTCCACTCAACACCGTGTAGGCTCCGTCCCTCAACAGGTTTAAATCTGCACCAAAGTCGTATTTCTATCTTTTAGCATTTGGTAGGAGATCCAGTCTTCCTACTGTGTAACCTTTCCCCATGTGTGTTGTATCCATCCTGTATCAGCCTCTCGAATACTTGTTTTCCTGGTATGGAGTTCCTGACTTTTATTTGCTGCGTCAGTCATTTCATGTCTACGTTTTTTTTTTTTTTTTTTTTTTTTTGCTGTTTTCACACTCTGAAAAATCTCCTTGTGTTTGACACGACTCATAAAGAAGCCAACACAACTTTATTTTTAAATTTTATTGAGCAAGCTTCCACATTTTAGGAACGAGTGTTGTGATTCTTGGGGAGCTGCGTGTTCAATTCTTGTGTCTGGCTGTGGTTTAGCGGTACTTCTCAGACAAAGCCAGGGCCAAATTCTGCAGGAACTTGTCGACAGAGACATGGACCTCTGGAGTGAAGTCTCCAGGGAAGTACATGGCCAAGACCAAGATGATGTTGTGGCCCAGGATCTGTGAAAGAAGATGTATTCAAGTCAGTCTTAAAAGAACAAAGAAGAGGAAGAAAGCCAGACCTCTGGAGGTTCGTGTTACCTTGAAGTTGGCAGGATCCACCCGCAGCTTAAAAGCGTGCAGCTCACTGAGGGAAGCCAGATGACCAGTGAGGTTATCGATGTTCTTGATAGCTTGTCCCAGAGCTGCCATGATGGTGGCACCGTGCTTCCTCACTTTGGCAGACGAGGGACTCAGATCTCCCCAGTGAGAGAAGTAGGTCTTGGTCTGAGGGTAGGCAACCAGCATTCTAAGAAAACAGAAATAATAGTTAAAATCTAATAATAAAAACACAACAAATAAATAAATAAATTAATTAATTAAGCATTTTTCTTACCTGCCCAGGGCCTCAGCCCCCAGTTCTGCAGACTTCCCCTCAGCCTTGGCCCAGAAGGCCTTCACTACGGACTTGTCTTTCTCAGAGAGACTCATGGCTGCCTTTAGGTTGTCAGCAAATGGATGTAATATCAAAAATGCTGCTTAAGTGGACCAATCATGCTGTTTTTATATCAAACTAAACTGCACCACGCCTTTGTATCAAACCCCTGTGAAACATCCGATAACAAAACTGCCCAAATTTTTTGCCAGCTTAGTTTGATAAAGTCACCCCTCCTCTAAAACCACGTCATTTCTGCGTAAAGGAGTGTTGATTACAGTAAATACTTCTGGGATATTTGTCAACATCACCTCTCAACCTTTCCACAATGAAATTATGTAGCCATCTGTTTCTGTGATAAATCCATATTTATCAGTGGTCTCTCGTCTAATGTTGGACAACTGTATTAACGGGCTGTTATCAAATTCTTAGTTTTTGTCTGTTTTTCTTTTGCTTAGCCAACAAAACCACTTTATTACTTTATCTAGGGAAATAAATCAATTAAAAAAATTAAATAACCTGAAAACCTCCAGAAATGTCTTATTTAGCACAAAATTACATTTGAAAAGTGAAAACATCCGTCTGAAAAAACACCATAGAATAAACCAAAGTTAAAAATGACAATGTTCATGAAGTAGAAAGTACCTGCTGGTTGCTAAAGATAATGAGATGAATTGGCAGGAATCGCTGCCAAGCCGCAGACTCACCACTCACTGCCCCACACATTGCCTACGTCATGTTGTGGCATCTGCCCATCGTCCAATCACATTCCTCCGTGTCAGAGGGATGGCTCTCCCAGTAATGAATAAATACTGACCTCATTGATGCGTTTAACACCCAGATCTTTGATCAGTGAACATATTTGAGAGAAGTCAAAGGAGACCTTCACGCCGTCAACATGGTCGAGTGGACAGATGCCGAGCGCAGCGCCATCACCACCCTGTGGTCGAACATCGATGTGGGTGAGATCGGACCCCAGGCTTTGACCAGGTACCCAGTCAGCTCATCTCAACACACCATCACTAATATTATTACTGTTACTGTTGCACTATTAAGACTCGTGGCTGCTCCTCTCTCACCTCCAGGCTTCTGGTCGTGTTTCCGTGGACTCAGAGATACTTTGGGACCTTTGGAGACCTCTCCACCACCGCCGCCATCCTCGGAAACCCCAAAGTGGCCAACCATGGAAAGACAGTGATGGGTGGACTGGAGTCTGCTGTGAAGAACATGGACAACATCAAGAACACCTACGCCAAGCTGAGTGTGATGCACTCTGAGAAGCTCCATGTGGATCCTGATAACTTCAGGGTATGTCACCTCCCACACCAGGACACACATGAAGTAGTTTGGTTTACTAACCTTCACTAATTATTTTATTTTGTGTTTCTTAGCTTCTGGCTGAGTGCATCTCTGTGTGTGTGGCTGCCAAGTTTGGCCCCAGCGTCTTCACCGCTGGTTTCCAGGAGGCCTGGCAGAAGTTCCTGGCTGTGGTTGTCTCTGCTCTGGGCAGACAGTACCACTGAGCACCTGGAGCTTCTGTCTCCTGCTAGAAGTGCAGCAGCACCAAAAGTCATTCTACAGTCATTGATCTGGTGAAATGCTGCCGTGATACATCAATAAAAAGCCTCAAATTATCTGATGAGTCTGTGAGATTCTTCACTCAATTACTTCTCTTTAGATGTTTTATTCATTGAAAACAAAACAGAAATGTGTTTTTATGTGCATTTTTTAATTATTGAGTTCAAAAATTGTCTTATTGGACCAAAATCCTGAGTTGTCAGGTCACTTTTGATCATGCTTCATGCAGTTTGGTAGTTATTTTCATATTGGGTTACAAAGAATGCACGAGTTATCTGCCACCACCAGGAAGCTGAAGGTCATGTAGGCCTAATCCAGACCATCAAAAAAACTAATCACAGTCAGCATCATTCTGGACATTTAATGTTCTCTCACACACAAAAGAAAGAATAAAACCAAGAAAATATGTCATCGTTGCGGTTTTATAGTCATTCGGCGGCACTAATGATAAAAACAATTATAATACTTTTGTTTGTCTTTCAAAGACAAACAGATAGAAAAAAATAGACAAATAATGATAATAATGTGTAGAAGAGGATGGTTTTTCAGAAATTACCTTATTTTTAGATTAGTTTTGTTCGTAGGTTTTTTACTAATTTAACAAAAGTTCGGTGCATGCTCTAATAAGTTATACAGACTAATATGAGCTCTTCCAGAATGTCAAAAGTCAAAGTTTGAAGATCATCTTAGGGAGAAACTTCCACTCAAACTAATCCAATACATTTTAGAAGAAAAGCTTCAGCCATACAAGTTAAACTACACAAATTAGAATATGGTGCAAAAGTTCATTTATTTCAATAATTTAATCCAAAAGGTGAAACTAATATGTGAAATAGACTCAGTACATGCAGAGCCAGGTACTTCAGCCCTTTATTTGTTATAATTGTGATGTACTTCTTATGAAAACCCCACATTTCTGGAATTAAAAAACTTCACGTCGACAATATTAAAGATTTGTTTAAAGTTTCCTCAAAAGCATTTAGTTTTTGTGTGATTTATGTGTTTTAAACAGCACCAGGTAAGCGACTGATCTGGTCTCTGGGGCAACACCATGATCTATTCAGCTCATAAATCAGTATTATGAAACATTTTCTAATTGTATTACTTTAGCCTGCATCATAAAAGCCTGATAACACATTGATGTTGAAAGAAGTAGCCTTATTAAAAATATAAAAGTAACTATTTTGTTACCCTGCTTCAATTCTGAAAACTACACATGAATAATGCTCTAAATAACTATAGTTGTGGTTCCAAACACCAATTTTCTTTCCTCTAATCAACACGTTGGAGCCACGCATCATTTATTTGGGCGGGGTGAGGCTGAATATTCAGATAATGAACGTTAATAGTTTAATCTGAGTTGAGCAGCTGGCTGGTGGAAACTCACTACAACTGAAAGAAGCAAACAGAATCATTTCATTTTTGAGGACATAGTTCTTTATACTTTATCTGATTCGCCGATACGAAGAGCGATACTTGCATCGATCCGGTGACGTCATGGTGAAATGGACAGAAGAGGAGCGCGAGACCATCAGATCAGTCTGGGAAAAAGTTGATATCGATGAGGTTGGGTCACAAATAATAGCAAGGTAGCGTCTGTCGGTGCGTCGCATGTTTTTATGTTGTTTGATGTCAGGATTTAACCGCTATTAGTTGGTGATGAAACAACCATGAGAGTGTACACATATATATGTGTTCTCTTGTTATGTTAAAGTTTTCATTTCAGAAATGTTTTAACAAAAATAAAATAAAAGAATGAGAAAAAGCATAAGAAACTGTAACAAATCTAAGCTCTAATTCCCCAGAGTGGACATTACAGACACTATCTGGTGACATCATGACATGTGTACAGGTGGATTTTCACAATGCTGTGTAGAAACGACGATGTTTTCTCCAGCAAAACAATAGCAGATGGATCCTTGTCTTCCTTTTTGTGAGGGGAGGTCCATGTAAGCCGGAGGAGCTGCCCATCTCAAAGCTGATGAATTATCTGTCACACGGACATTTTTAATAGATGCATAGACATACATTTATTTTGTTTGTATTATTTATTTATTTATTTATTTATTCATTGGGAGGGAGACAAAGACAACTTTGAGTTTTTCTTCCTTCTTTTACTGAAATGTGGAATAATTTGATGTAAAAGAGGCCTGTTCCCTCAAGAAGCTCTGTGTCTCCTCCATGGACAGGACTCTGATCGTGTACCCCTGGACTGAGCGGTACTTTGGTAGATTCGGGGACATCTTCACCACCACAGCCATTCTAAACAACGCTAAAGTGGCCGCTCATGGGAAAGTAGTCCTGAACGCTCTTGACTTAGCTGTGAAGAACATGGACGACATCAAAGGGACGTACTCGGCTCTGAGCAGGCTGCACTATGACAAACTCAAAGTGGATCCGGATAACTTTAAAGTATGGACACACACACACACACACACACACACACACACACACACACACACACACACACACACACACAGAGTTAATGACGCTGTCTCTTTGTTTACAGCTGATGGCCGACTGCATCACCATCAGCATCGCCTGCAAACTCAAGGCTGCTCTGAGTCCTCCGGTCCACATGATCTGGCACAAGTTTCTGTACGCTGTAGTCGAAGCTTTGAACAGTCAGTACAAATAAAACCTCCAAACTCTAAAGGAGGAAAAACCTCACCGCTTCTGCCTGTTCGGTGTGTTTGTCACCTCACCAGAACTAAATAAGCATTAAGTATAATTAAGTACAGCTGAGTTTAGCTGGATCCGTTTAGAAATATTTTCCACAGGTCAGGTGCAGATGATAGATGTTCCCACTGTTCCCAATTTGAACTCTTCTGAATCCTGGTGGGAAAATGTGGTACTGCAGGGCCTTCAGACGTGACTGATTTATGAGTAAATTGTTAAGGGGCATTATGGAAGTTTGACAGCCAAAACATGTATAGAAATAATAAATGTCTTCTTCATACAGTCTCCTGCAATGCCCTGGTCCTGTAGAATGAGCCCTGGCATTTTTACTGTGATTGCCTGTTTTTCTGTAAAATCACAGAAAAAGAGAGATGCTCGGGTCGAGCAGGCTGCTTCCACTTGGCTTCACAGAGCTCTGAGAGCTGACAGTCCCTTGTGTGTGTGTGTGTGTGTGTGTGTGTGTGTGTGTGTGTGTGTGTGTGTGTGTGTGTGTGTGTGTGTGTGTGTGTGTGTGTGTGTGTGTGTGTGTGTGTGTGGCCCGGAGGACAGAGGACAGGAGAACATGCAGCTAATTAATTAAATAATTTGGTTCTGTACTTTTCTCTTTGAAGAGTCTTCAGCACAGCCGACAAGGGTTAATGATGGGTCAGTTCTCCTGCATGCTCAGATAATTCCATTCCCTTGAAAATTTGTTCCAAAATGAAAGTTGAACCCACATCTTTTTTATCTGTGAATTGAATGCCGTTCGACGAGTCTCAAATAAAAATTTGGGCATCTTACTGTAAAAGAATATATCATTTATGTAAAAATAAAATCCTGAAACAACCATGTTCACATCAAGAATCGAACCCGGGTCTCCTGGACAAAAGCCCAAAGTTTAACTAGGCAAGCTAATCGCCAATAATATCCTTTGTATCTGTAACTTTTATATCCTTGCGCACAGTTGAAACAACGTTCAAAGAACGGTTCTAAGGGCTATGCCTGAGCGTGAACGCGCATGAAGCCAAGCGGTGCTCGCTGCAGAACCACAAAGGTGTGGCTGCACCAGAGTCAGCCCCTCTCTGTGAAGCTGACCCCCGTCTGGAGTGTGCACGTGCAGCATGCGCGCCTCGTGCACGAGCCTCCTATTGAAGCTGCCGTTACACTTTTGGCCAGAGGGGGCAATCGCGAGCATAAAAATTCAAAACTCCGTAAGGTCCCTTTAATTTCACCAAAGAACGAAATCATTTCCTATTTTGATATATCTATCTTAAATGCATTCAATCCACGTGCAGTGATTATTTTTATTGTGTTGTAAGAGAAGCTGATCGCTGCTGAAATCATTCTAAGGTAAAAGCTGTATAATAAAACAGGTAAAAACATTGTGGTGTATGCTGGTCTGACATTGTTATACTTTTATATTTTTATATACTTATTTCTGGTTGAACCACTAATAAAAACTTACAATTGTAACTACAAATACATATGTTATTAACACATCCAATGGCAAATAAATGAATAAGTAAGTTAATTAATTAACACTATATGATGGCATCAGAAAATAATAATCTTAGCTCAGGTGGCTGAGGAGTATTTGCTTTAACTCAATATTAACTGGCTCATTGCATAATCCATTCATTATTACTTTTAAATGCTAAGTAAATAGCCATGTGTAGTTTACTGAGGATGTGATGACAGTAAAACCATAAAAACAGGTCTTTACAGTCACATTTACCTGCTTTCACATGTGGGTCACAAATATAAAGAAAATCAATAAAGACAAAAGAATTAAACTAATTAGATTCATAGCTGTAAATAAAAAGATGGTAAAACTGTGAAAGACCTGTGTGGCTATCTGTCCACACGAGGGCGCTCCAGCACAACCCAAGGCCGGTTTAATGGTCTTTTTTTTTTTTTGGAAGGTAAATGTTGGTCTTTGATGAAGTATCAACTGTGTGTGTGCGGGTTACTAAAAGTCTCATTTCTGTCTGAATAAACTGAACTGTAGTCTAACTGTTATGTGTTCTTTAAAATGTAGAAAGTATTTTGTTCTTAAGATGGTTGAGAAAAAAAAGGGAAGAGCTTTAACCTTTGTTTCTAAACAGAAACCTCAAATGATCCAGGAGTTTAGAAACATTATCGAAGGGAACTGGTTCAAAACAGTTTTTCTGTTTGCTGGATGAAGAGCTCTGATTAACTCCAGAGACAAACTTGGTGGAATTATGATCATAATGGCCTAAATGAAAATCGAACTTATTATTATTATTATTATTGCTGTTGTTGTTATTATTATTACTATTAGTAGTAGTAGTAGTAGTAGTAGTAGTAGTAGTAGTATTACCGGTATTATAAATATTTTATTATTATTATTATTATTATTAGTAGTAGTAGTAGTAGTAGTAGTAGTAGTAGTAGTAGTAGTATTACCGGTATTATAAATATTTTATTATTATTATTATTATTATTATTATTATTATTATTATTATTGCTGTTGTTGTTATTATTATTACTATTAGTAGTAGTAGTAGTAGTAGTAGTAGTAGTAGTAGTAGTAGTAGTATTACCGGTATTATAAATATTTTATTATTATTATTATTATTATTATTATTATTAGTAGTAGTAGTAGTAGTAGTAGTAGTAGTAGTAGTATTACCGGTATTATAAATATTTTATTATTATTATTATTATTATTATTATTATTATTATTATTAGTAGTAGTAGTAGTAGTAGTAGTAGTAGTAGTAGTAGTAGTAGTAGAAGTATTACCGGTATTATAAATATTTTATTATTATTATTATTATTATTATTAGTAGTAGTAGTAGTAGTAGTAGTAGTAGTAGTAGTAGTAGTAGTAGTAGTAGTAGTAGTATTACCGGTATTATAAATATTTTATTATTATTATTATTATTAGTAGTAGTACCGGTATTATAAATATATTATTATTATTATTATTATTATTATTGTTGTTGTTGTTTCACAAAAATCCCAAACACTGAAAGAGAATCAAAAGACATGCATGTGAGGACAGAAAGGTTTTTTGGGTTTAGACCTGAGGATGTAGATTCTCCCGCATCAGTAAATCTGTGTTTTAGCCCTAAAACTAACGATCGCACATCTAATTAAACACGAAGAAGGTAAAACCACAGAGTAACAGGATGAAGCCTTCAACACTGAGCCATTATCTCTCTGCTCTGCTGGAGAACGCCCTGCAAAGTTTAGATAAACACATGTTGGTGACAGCTTCTCCAGCATCAGTCCTTATATTGGTCTCTGCTGATAACAAACATTAATTAATTACAGAACATAGATTTTTAAATCAGTTTCCCTGGAATACACGTCATCGATTTAACTGCTCAGGTGGTTTTCATGCAGAAACTCTGGAACTTTTTGCAGATTTGTGCTTAGAGTTCTCTGAATAAATTAGAGTCTAATTATGTATTAATTGGTTGTTTGTGGCTTGCAGTTGTGCTTTTCGTACAAAAACATTTAATATCCTGTTGGGAATATTAAACAGAATTAGTAGGGTCTATGGGTTTGTTGAGCCGTTCTGTGTGTCTAATTGGTTTATCTCACTTGGAAAGTGTCCAAGCTGACATATCTTGGAGGCATCTCTGCTGTGCCCATGCCCCGTCTCACATATAAACCCCCCCATGACTGCCTGCTGATCGGCATTCGAACCAAACAATTAGCCAACAGGATGAGTCTCACAGCCAAGGACAAGGACACTGTCAAGGCCTTCTGGGGCAAAGTGTCTGCCAAGGCGGAAGACATTGGCCAGGATGCTCTGTCCAGGTAAAGAACACTCTAAAAGTCTCTGTTATCATTTAACTCATCTGTTTATTCACAAACATGTGCTCCTGTCCAGGATGCTGGTCGTCTACCCTCAGACTAAGACCTACTTCGCCCACTGGCAGGACCTGAGCCCTGGCTCTGCCCCGGTGAAGAAGCACGGAGCTACGATCATGGCTGGAGTTGGTGATGCCGTGTCCAAAATCGATGATCTGACCGCAGGTCTCCTGAACCTCAGCGAGCTGCACGCCTTCACTCTGAGAGTGGATCCTGCTAACTTCAAGGTACCAGGAAGGGATTTTGTCTCGCAAAAAAAAGTCAGGAATTTATCATGAAACCATCGTAAAAACCACCCCGTGACGAGCCTTCAGCTGCCTCTGCAGTGGAGACGGACATTCTTACACTGTTATTTAAAAGTGTAACTGTACAAATGTCGTTTTATGTTACAAGAGGTTTTAAAGGCTGATTCTTTCTGACTGAAGATGTCTTTAAAACGAAGGATGCCCAGCCCTGAGCCTCATCCAGCATGTTTTAGTTGTTTTTCTGCTCCAACACACCTGTTTCAGCGCTTGAATTACCCATTCAAAACCACCAAGCTCCACAAATCAGGTGTGGTGGAACCTCTAAAGCATGAAGGATGGGGGCTTTCCAGGACCAGGGTGGGACACCACTGTGACAGATGCTGCTACATGTTTATATAAACACCAGTAACCCGTCTTTAGTGGGACTTTGGTGCTTAATTAGTTGAATTAACTTCACTTGTTGTCTAGTTTTCTCAGCTGTCTGCTGGTGAAGATAAAGAGGCAAAGCTGCTCACACCAGATTATGAGAATAAAAAACAGCAAACCATTACATCTATTTCAATCTAGCTTCATTTATTAAAATTCTGATTTAATTAATTATTGATGTGTTTGTTCATTTGATAATTATCACAGTAACAATAGAGGAACGTGAAAGTATCCTGCAGTTAGACTCCTTTTATCAGCCCTTTTTTTTCACATTTTTATTGAAGTTGATTATTCAAACTAATCCAGTCGTCATCTTTCCACAGATCCTTGCCCACAACATCCTTGTGGTCTTGGCCATCAGGCTGCCCAGTGACTTCACCCCTGAGGTCCACGTGGCTATCGACAAATTCCTGGCTGCTGTGGCTCGTGCCCTGTCTGAGAAATACAGATAAACAGCCAGGAGGAGCAGATGAGAGACAGGCTCAGGCCAAAACCCTCTCTGTCAGCCTCAATGTCAATAAAAGATCAAACACACTCACGGTGTTGTGACGTTTGTCGATCCGTTCAATCAGAGTTTAAAATTATTTTTCATTTTTAACCCCTTACATCATTTGAACACAGTCCAGATTACCGAGGTCCAAATTTCATCCGATCAGACGTGAGAAGGAGTTCAGAACAAGTCTAACCCTAACCAGGAAACCCGCCCAGTCTGAAGGAATCACACCTGAATCTTCTGCAGGTTCTCAGATTGATTTTTATTCTATTTAAATGTTTTTGGTAGTATTTCAGACAACAAATCTTTATGTAAAAGTTACAAAAAGGGGTTTCTTGTTGTTTACCACTGAAACATTTTACTGCTCCTTCGCTGAAAGAGGGAACACTTTCAGTGAAGATGTTTCTGCTGTTTGGAAGCACACGTTCATGTTTTTAGATCATCAGCAGCAGTTTAACCAGTTGGTTGAATTGAAAAACCTTCAATCGCACAACAGATGAATCTTATTTGACGTAATTCATTTAATAATAATAACAATGCATTAAACTTATGTAGCACTTTTAGGAAATGTTCACACGCTGTCACATTCACACACTGCCAGTGATGGTAAGCTACTACGTAGCCACAGCTGCCCTGGAGCGGTCTGACAGAGGCGAGGCTGCCATTTTGGCACCGTCGGCCCCTCTGACCACCACCAACACAGGCAAGTTGGGTGAAGTGTCTTGCCCAAGGACACAACAGCAGAATACCCCTGGCAGGAGCTGGAATCGAACCCATCATGAGGCAAGCCGCTCTACCACCTGAGCTACTGCTGCCCCAAATTTAAGTTTTGTTAGGTTTTTATTGCAGTCGAGTATCTAAGCAGGAATGTGTGATGGTTTGGGACCAGCTAAAGAAAATGTGCTTTCATTCTGATAGATCAGATCAGTTTCATGAGCCTATACAGAGGAGTTGGATTTTAAAGCATCACAACTGAACAAAAGCGCAACAGAAGTCCTCTTTTTTTTTTTTGCACAACATTTTATTTACTAGTTTCCTCCTCCTGAGACATGATTAAAACACACAAAAGAGCCAGAGTGTCTTCTGCTGAAGCTCTAGTAGTACTGCTTCCTCAGAGAGGCCACCACCACAGCCAGGAACTTGCTGAAAGCTGCGTGGACTTCAGGAGTGAAGGCTTTACCCAGCTGACCGGCAACAACCACGGTGATGCAGTCAGTCAGGAGCTGCAGCAAAACACAACATGCCTCAGCAAAACGACAGCAACGTGAAGGAAATGTGATTTAAAATGTTATGAAAGGTAATTCACCTTGAAATTGTCAGGATCCACTTGCAGTTTCTCAGAGTGAAGCACACTCAAGTCCTTGTAGAAATTCTTCAAGTCATCCAGGTTCTTCACACCATTTTCCAGACTGTTGAGGACGACTTTTCCATGAGCGGCCACTTTGGGATTTGCTGCTATGGCGTCAGCATTGTAGAGGTTTCCAAAACCACCAAAGTATCTCTGAGTCCAGGGGTAGACAGTCAGACACCTGAGAAGAAAAGAACAACAAATATGCATCACTTTGCCATGAAATCTGGCTGGTTTCATTTGTCAGTGTAAAATGTTCTTGTCTCACCTGGTAAGAGCTGCAGGTCCCACGACATTTTTATCGATTTTGGCGAAGATGTCCTGGATGGTGGAGCGCTCAAAGTCTGACCATTTAACCATTTTGCCTGACTGTAGATGTTTTCCACTGGTGTGGTGGGGGTCAGCAGGACCAGAACACTCCTTTATAGAGACAGAGCTCTGCTCCTCCCAGGGTTATCAGATGGGTGGAGGTGGCTGTGAGTCGCCTGGGTGAAGGAATGAACTGGAAAAGAAAAGATAAAGAACTAAAAGTGTGTTTAAATTCAACAACCAAGGGGGAAAGTAAACAAAAGTGAATAAAACATGTTGAGGAAATTAGCTCAAAGAAAAAAAAATCGGGTAATTTGATCTTTTTCATGAATGTTCTTCATAAAAAAGAACTTTTGAGCCTCAGATGACTCTTCATTTGATCTCAGAATGGTTTGATTGTGCTCAATTTGGCATAAAATATAACTATTTCATTTCAACTAAATGAGAAGTTAGGTTCCCCCAATTTATAAAAAAAAGAGAAGTATTAGAAGAACAACAGGGTTTTGGTCAATTTCACCTTCTAATGAACCCAAATCCTACACAAAATAAGAAGAGATCAAACATTTTATGCTCGTAAAGTTGAACCCAAAAAATTCTTGTATTTATTACATCTTTGCATCAAGCCTACAGAAACATGTTTCTTCCCATGTCAGTTTTAAATTAAAATGATGTTTTGATTCATAATTCATTAATATTGTTTTTGCTTCAGAGAACAAAACGATAGCATCTTTATTTTTTCCAGCGCTTTGAAGCTTTTCTCAGAATTTTTGAGTCTGCGTCATGTGGGCGTTTTCCATTGATTGTTAACGTTTTTCCTGCTGTTAGAATCCGGCCGACAGATAACACAGGTGGAGCGAAGTCAGAAGAGGCAGTGTGAACGTAAAAGGTCGCAAAACAGAGGAAAGGTTGTTCCTTTAAAACTGCAACAAATCAAATGTGATTAAAGATTATGACAATATTTTTCTAAAATAAGCAAAAAGGTAAACACTAAGACAAAGTTTATGGAAATAAACTCTAAGATTACACAAAAAGGTTTTTGACTTCAATAGTAATAAAAGTGTATTAAATAAAGTCAGTTTCAAACTTCATTATTACACGTTTGTTTCCCATTAAAAACTCAGAGCTGCTAAAATGTGATTCATGTCTTCATCTCAACCACAGGTGTGTTCTGATTTGGTGTCATCAGTAAAACTCCTCACGTTTGTGTCCAACACACCGTTCCAACCAGGACAATTCTACACAGGATGAGTCCCACAGCTGAGGACAAAGGTCAGGACCTTCTGAGTGTCTGACAAGGTGGAAGAAACTGGAACAGATTCCCTGTCCAGGTAATCAAAACTCTGTGTTTTTATTTACAGCTATAATCTCTTGAAGTATTTGTTTCCTATGTTTTCTCCGGGATGCTGATGGTGTTTCCACAGACTAGAACCTCCTCGGTTCTACTTCTGAGATAAAGCACCGAGCTACAATCGTGGTTGGACTTAGTGATGATCTGACCTCGGGTCTCCTTGGGCTGAGAGAGCCGTGTGTCTTCTCTGAGCGGATCAGTCCGACTTCAATGTAAAACACATGAAAGTTTTCCTGTCTCTGTGACGAGTGGACGCGTAGATGCTGATCAGCCTGAAGCTGGCTGTATTTAACATGTGTGCCTCTGATGGTTTTTCAGATGTTTACATAGTTCTGATGCTGATTTGAAGCAGGGGTTAGAAGGTTTGTGAGTAGAATGTTGTGCAAAAGGTCTGACAGATTCTCTCCCACAATGATCACGCTGAGGTCCATCCGTGGAGCTGTGGCTCCAGCTCTGTCTGAGAAATGCTGATCACCAGTAGAAAAGAGCAGCAGAATACCTGTACGCATGTCCGCTTTCCGTTAAATACAATAAAAACGTTCCCGCTTTTTGCTGTGGGTGAATTTCTCTTTGCTTTTGCAGATGCAGCCATGTCAGCGGCTCTTTAAGAAGGTTAAAACAAGAACAGAAACCATGTTTGGCTCTCCTGAGAAATACAGGAAAAATGCTGCAAACAAGAAAACAGATAAAACAGAAAAGTGAGCACGTGACAAAATAAAATAAATAAACAACACTGTGGTGTTTTTGTCACCATGTACAGTGAAGCGCTGACAGACATCAAAGCGCAGACGTAACACACTGAATTACACCGGAGTTCATTCGGAGGGAGTCAAAGAGCACAGACAGGAAACACTGTGATCATTTGAAAGCAAAACACTTCCTGCTTCTGTGGATCTCCAACCACTCAAAGGTTTAAACTGAAACTAAAGCATGAAATAATCTCAGGGACCAATCTCATCATCTCCTTTTGAATTTCCCCATCAAAAGATGTTAGAGCAAAGACAAACAGACTTCAGATCAGTTTCTATTCCAGTGCCTTTGGAGCATTAAAATAATGCAAAAAGGGTAAAGCTGAGATAGCTTTTTGATTCAGTTTGAAATGTTCGTCGTCGTCGTCTTCCTCCGCTTATCCAGGTCCGGGTCGCGGGGGCAGCATCCCAACTAGGGAGCTCCAGACCGTCCTCTCCCCGGCCTTTTCCACCAGCTCCTCCAGCAGGACACCAAGGCATTCCCGGACCAGATTGGAGATGTAACCTCTCCAACGTGTCCTGGGTCGACCCGGGGGCCTCCTGCCGGCAGGACATGCCCGAAACACCTCCCCGGGGAGGCATCCAGGAGGCATCCTGACCAGATGCCCAAACCACCTCAACTGACTCCTTTCGATCCAGAGGAGCAGCGGTTCTACTCCGAGTCCCTCCTCTCCTGAGGCGCCGGACAGTTTGCCAGAACCTCTTTGGAGCCAATCGATGGTCTTTCTCCATGGCCTCACCAAACTCCTCCCACGCCCGAGATTTTGCCTCGGCAACTGCCACTGCTGCACCCCGCTTGCCTATCCGGTACCTGTCTGCTGCCCCCGGAGACCCACAGACCAGCCACGCCCTGTAGGCCTCCTTCTTAAGCCTGACGGCTCCCCGAACCTCTGGTGTCCACCAGCGGGTACAGGGATTGCCACCACAACTGGCACCGGCCACCATGCGACCACAGCTAGCAACAGCCGCCTCAACAATCGCAGAGTGGAACAAGGCCCACTCAGAGTCGATGTCCCCCACTGCTCTCGGGACACGGTCAAAGCTCTGTCGGAGGTGGGAGTTGAAGACCGTCTTAACAGGTTCTTCTGCCAGGCGTTCCCAGCAGACCCGCACTATGCGTTTGGGTCTGCCAGGTCTACGCGGCATCTTCCCCTGCCATCTGATCCAACTCACCACCAGGTGGTGATCAGTTGACAGCTCCGCTCCTCTCTTCACTCGGGTGTCCAAAACATACGGCCGCAGGTCAGATGATACAACTACAAAATCTATCATCGACCTGCGACCTAGGCTGCCCTGGTACCAAGTGTACCGATGGGCATCCTTATGTTCGAACATGGTGTTCGTTATGGCCAAACTGCGGCTTGCACAGAAGTCCAATAACGAAACACCACTCGAGTTCAGATCAGGTGGGCTGTTCCTCCCAATCACACCCCTCCAGGTCAAGCTGTCATTGCCCATGTGAGCATTGAAGTCCCCCAGCAGGACAATGGAGTCCCCTGATGGAGCACTATCTAGCACTCGTCCCAGGGACTCCAAAAAGGGTGGGTACTCTGAACTGATATTTGGCCCATAAGCACAAACAACAGTCAGGACCCGTTCCCCGACCCGAAGGTGCAGGGAAGCTACCCTCTCGTCCCCCGGGGTAAACCCCAACACACAGGCAGAGAGTCTTGGGGCTAACAGAAAGCCAACCCCAGCCCTCCGCCTCTCACCCGGAGCAACTCCAGCAAAGGAGAGTGTCCAACCCCTCTCAAGGACTTGGGTTCCAGAGCCAATGCTATGTGTCGAGGTGAGTCCGACTATATCCAGCCGGTACCGCTCAACCTCTGCCACATGCCCCTGCTCCTTCCCCGCCAGCGAGGTGACGTTCCATGTCCCAATAACCAGTTTTCTTGTCCGGGGATCGGACCGCCAAGGTTCCCGCTTCGGTCTGCCACTCAATCCACACTGCACTGGACCCTTCATGTTCCTCCTGCAGGTGGTGGGCCCACAGTTGGATGAGCCCATGTATCTGGCTCGGACTGGGCCGAAAGCCCGGCCACCAGGCGCTCGCTCACGGGCCCCAACCCCAGGCCTGGCTCCAGGGTGGAACCCCGGTAACCCTCCGGACCGGGTACTCCGACTCTTTGAATTTTCTTCCATGAAAGATCCTGTGAACCGTTCTTTGTCACACCCTTCACCTAAGACCAATTTGTCATGAGAGACCCTATCAGGGGCACAAAGTGCCCCAGACAACATAGCTCCTAGGATCATTAGGGCACTCAAACTCCTCCACCACGATAAGGTGACGGTTCAAGGAAGACAGTTTGAAATGTTTTCATAACTAAAACGTTGTTTATATTCTGTTTTATTGTTTCAGTTGATTGTATTTATTCCATTTCTGACTCTTCTGAGACCTTTCAGTGTTTCTGATTTTTATTCACACGCATCTAATTCACAGAAAGCTTTTAATTGTATTTTGGCTCAATTCAAATGAAACTTTTGATTCATCCTGACTTTTCAAGAGTCATGTCCAGCAAATAATACTTTATTTTCAAAAACTCAAGACATAATCTTAAAATGAATTTATCATCCTTGTTATTCTGAGTTAAAGTGTTTAAACTCAGGTTTCACGGTGTTGCTCTGCAACACTTTATTTGACACTGTACACACCTGATGTATACACCTGTAGAGCAGTTTGTCTTTAGTAAAAAAACACCTGTGAAGAATCCTAAAGTGGTGTGATTCTGCGGTACTGTTTAACCCATTTAGTCTGCTGCTTCTGTAGGACCCACAAGTCTGAACTTCATTCTGTTCCTGCTTTATGTCGTGTTTGGGGTTAACCGTCTGACCCAAGACATACAGAATCAACTTCAGAGTCAGGAGGATGGGTGAGAAAAAAGCAGATAATTTATTAATCTCAACTAAAGGAGCACCGTTAAAGGCAGGTGATGATTAGGAGCTTAGCTCAGTTCCTTTTTTAGTCCAAAATCCTGGGGCTCAGAGTTCGGGGTAGGGAGGAGAGGAGAGAGGAGGGTCCGGTTGGCAGGTGAGTGGCAGGACGACAGGGTGAATCCTCGGAGTCCTGAGAGGGGGGAGGGTGCGGAGGCGGCAGAGAGCTGGCTGGTCAGAAGAGGCTGGAGCGGGAGACAGGCGTGGATCCGTGATTAATGGCAGGTTCTGTAAGTGGAGGATCGACCTGAAGGAGAGGGAGAAGCAGGGTGAGGTTACTCGGAACGAAGCTCGGAAGACAATAGTCAAAAGATAAAAGGCTCGTGACACTCAGGTAGCTCTACCAAGATTGAGTAATCATCCAGCGCTGAGGTGCGTCTCCCTGCTCCTTAAGAAGCCTACTGATGAGTGGCAGATGGCTCGCTGCTCTCCAGTTCCGCCCATCTGCACTCAAACAGAATGAGAGTCAGGTGTTTTCACTCACCTCCAACCGTGACAGTTTAACCCTGTTCACACGACTGCAACAACATGTATAATGAAAAATTCACCCACAACAAAAAACACAAACAGTTTTGTTGCATTCAATATCATTTATTTAAAAGAAAGCAGACATACAGGGGTGATGGGGCTGTTTCTGTTCCTGCAGGTTATCTGTATTTCTCGGACAGAGCCAGCGCCACGGCTGACAGGAACTTGTCCATGGCTACATGGACCTCAGGGGTGAAGTAGCTGGGGAACATGATGGCAAAAACCACCAGGAGGTTGTGGGAGAGAATCTGCATGAAATAAAATTACACAATAACTTTTATATTTATCCCATTGAATTCCAGCGAGACATGCTAAAGAGTAACCCAGTCTCTTTACCTTGAAGTTTGCAGGATCCACTCTCAGAGTGAAGGCATGCAGCTCGCTGAGGTTGAGGAGACCTGATGTCAGATTGTCGATCTTGCTCACAGCATCCCCAATTCCAGACATCACCGTCCTGCCGTGCTTCTTCACCGGGGCAGAGCTGGGCCTCAGGTCTTTCCAGTGGGCAAAGTAGGTCTTGGTTTGGGGGTAAACCAGCAACATCCTGGAGACAGAAGACAATGCATGAGGCAAACAATATATAGTCTGTGCAAATTAGACTTTAGAGTTTTGTTGACCTGGACAGAGCATCTGAGCCGATGTCCTCCGCCTTGCCTGACACTTTGGTCCAGAAGGCCTTGACAGTGTCCTTGTCCTTAGTTGTGAGACTCATGTTGCAGGTAGATATTTTCTGGTGTGAATGCCACTTTCAGGACAAACGTCTGAGGTTTTTGTAGATGACACGGGCCAAGGACACACCCGGGCCCACGTCTGAGATGTGTATGCTCTTGTGTTTCAGCTGATTACAGATCTGTGTCACTCCTCTCTGGAGATAAAGACAAAAAGGTCACTCTAAAGACAAGAAGCCACAATGACACAAAGGGCTGCTGGAGGTGCTGATTTTCATTCTGCTGCAAGTGAAAAACTTGAACCAGAATAAATGAAGATTTGAACTTTAAGTATTAAAACTAAAGGACTCTGGAGGCGACGAGATCCCTAAAAAATAAAATATGTTGAGTTTTAAACAGTTTTGTCGGAAAAGGGTAGAACGCCTTGTCTGGGTCAGGGATAAGGTCCTGCCCCAAGTGGAGGAGTTAAGTATCTTGGAGTCTTGTTCACGAGTGAGGGAAATATGGAGTGCAAGATCGATAGGCGGATTGGTGCTGCATCTGCAGTGATGTGGGCGTTGTACCGGTCTGTCGTGGTGAAGAGAGAGCTGAGTCAGAAGGCGAAGCTCTCGATTTACCGGTCAATCAACGTTCCCACCCTCACCTATGGTCATGAGCTAGTGACCGAAAGAACGAGATCGCAGATACAAGCGGCCAAAATTAGTTTTCTCTGCAGGCTGTCTGGGCTCTCCCTTAGAGATAGGGTTAGAAGCTCAGTCATCCAGGAGGGGCTAGAGTAGACCCGCTGCTCCTCCACGCAGAGGAGCCAGTTGAGGTGGCTCAGGCATCTGATTAGGATGCCTCCTGGACGTCTCCCTGGCGAGGTTTTCTGGGCATGTCCAACCAGGAGAAGACCCAACAGAAGACCCGGGACACTTTAGAAGGACTATGTCTCTCGCCTGGCCAGCGAACGCCTTGGGATTCCCTCAGACAAGCTGGCCCAAGTGACTGGGGAGAGGAAAGTCTGGGCCTCTCAACTTGCTGCCCCCGCGACCCGACTCTGGATGAGCGGAAGAGAAAAGATTGATGGAGTTTCAAACATATATTAAAATCATTCTTCCTAATGAAAATACAGCGTTGATTCTAGACGACATAATTTATTAAACTACTTTACCTCAAATATGTGTGAAATCAGTGCATCTTTTTATTTGTCACTCAAGATCTCTGCTTTATTTGATACTGTCTGAGCAATTATAATAACAGATAATTCATAATGTAAAAAGTTAATGTGAAAAACTTCAATTCAATTTAGAAAATTTTGAATAATCTGGTAAACCATGCAACTTGTTCATTTGGGAGTCACTGATGAGTGATGTACTAACTAACTAACTAACTAACTAACTAACTTTTCACAAAGAAAAAAGAAGGAAAGGCTCACTCTCAGAGGAAGAAAGAAAGAAAGAAAGAAAGAAAGAAAGAAAGAAAGAGAGAGAGAGAGAGAGAGAGAGAGATAAACAGACATTTGATAAACTAAGTAAACTACTAAATTACATGTTTCCATGTTTCAAAGTGAGTTAAAGCTGCTGTTTGGATTTTCAAACATTTCTAAAATAAGGGTGATTTACTAAATTATTTTACCTAAAAATATTTGAGTTAATTAAATTAAAGAGATGTAAAGTATAAAGTGAGGAGATAACAGTTTTTGTGCAGTAGAACTTATGTGCCTTAAAGTTGGTGATTTATTCTCCACTAATTTGGACTGCTAGCAGGAGAAACCCTCCTCTCTTCTAGAACATGCCGGACGCTGACGCATTATCAGGTTTTCAAATCCATCATCGATACCACTCACCACCCATCTCATAACTTTGGAGGAGGGGGCTGTCCGTTTATAAAACAGATGCTCTGCTCCTGCAGACCAGAGTGGAAAAAAAATCTACTATCAGGCGAAATGGTCAAGTGGACAGACTTCGAGCGCGCCACCATCAAGGACATCTTCTCCAAGATTGACAGTGGAGTCGTCGGTTCTGCAGCTCTTTCCAGGTCATGCTCTTTCCCCTCTCCACTGCCCCCTCTCTTCCAGAACAGACTGATACATGTGTGTTTTCCCCCCTCAGATGTCTGACTGTCTACCCCTGGACCCAGAGGTATTTTGGTAAATTTGGAAACCTCTTCAACGCTGCTGCCATAGCGTCAAATCCCAAGGTGAAGGCTCATGGCAAAGTGATCATGGGTGCCCTGGAGATGGCTGCGAAGAACCTGGACGACATCAAGAACGCGTACACACAACTGAGCATCCTCCACTCTGAGAAGCTGCAGGTGGACCCTGATAACTTTAAGGTATAGTCACGTTTCATCCATTAATGTTCACGCACGCGGCACCTGCGCTCTGCGCTCTGACGCATGTTGCATTTTGTTGCAGCTCCTGGCCGACTGCGTCACCATCGTTGTAGCAGGTCAGCTAGGCAAAGCCTTCACTCCGGAAGTCCACGCAGCTTTTGAGAAGTTCCTGGCAGTGGTGGTGGCTTCTCTGAGGAAGCAATACTACTAGAGCTCCAGCGGAGTTCAAAGTCTCTCTGAGTGAATAAATAAAACAAGCTTTTTCAACAAATACTCTGCTAGTTTATTTTATTGCAAGCAGCATATATGCCAAAGGCGACATTTTATAGATATGTCATGGATTTTATCAATATGTTTATCAATAACCCATTTCCTGTAGTCGAAGAGAAAAAGGAGACAATGAACAGACAAGTCAAACAGTTATAACTGTGCCATAATGCACGAGGCAAAATGCCCTGAACATCTGGTCACAGAGTTTATACCAAGAGATAAGAAAGGAATTAAAGTGAGATCCTATGCGAGGGAGAGAGAGAGAGAGAGAGAGAGAGAGAGAGAGAGAGAGAGAGAGGTCAAGAATATATGTGTGTGTGTGTGTGTGTGTGTGTGTGTGTGTGTGTGTGTGTGTGTGTGTGTGTGTGTGTGTGTGTGTGTGTGTGGCTTGTGTGGGTTGTGTGGGTTGTGTGGGTGTGTCTGAATAAGTGGAAATGCAAAGAGGTATAGAGCAATACATATTATATTCAGTTGATTGAGTCAATTATCAAGAATTAATAAACATAAAATTTCCATAACAAGAAATCTTCTAAAAAAAACTTGGGTGCGCTACTTTATTCATAAACCTTTAAATCTATTAAAAACACCTGACCGTTTATTTGCTCTTGTCTTACAGGTTTGGATGAAAAACTCCCAACTTTTGTGCACACAATTTCTCACGAGTTGAAATTCTGATTTTCATCCAACGTTTTCTGCTGACTTGTCTCTGAGTAATCCGCCGTGCGTAAATGTGCACAAGTTCTGGGGACGGTGTTTAATCCGGGCGGTTAGTGAACTCAGAGGAAACTTTTAACCTTCAAACTACACCCGACATAAAAAAGGACAATGATGTTAAAACAACAGAAACAAATCATGCAGCAACAAAGAAGATAGTCTTAATCTCTGTCACTGAGTCGCCCCTGTGGCTGCACTGATAAATCAGCCGAGACATGGACGACGGTGGCCTGTAGGGGACATTTAGTGGCCAAAACGATTTACTTTTTATAAGAGGAAAATTCTGCATCTGCTTTATTCTTAACTGAACGCACAAAGCGCACAAACCGACATTTAAAATGTAGTTCAATAAAAAATAATATCCCAAACTAAACGTTTAAATGTATCTCTTCGAATGACTGAAATCGCATTAACGTTGGACTACAAAACTACATTAACACAAAATGTGTAATTAATACTGTAGAGGGCGCTCTGGAACGGGACACTTCAACCTGCTGCTTTACAGCACAGTTTGTATACAGAATAAAGTCCTATTGTGTGCATCAGGATCGTCAAACACTGTTGTGCTCCAACAGAGTGATTGTAGGTCGACCTTATCTCTACATCCCAGCGTTTGTTTGAGAAAATTCGAAAATAAAAAAGTTTTTAATTGACAATAAATCAGGAAACTCAGGAATTCATTTCTAGTGTTGTTGGGGCTATTTATTATTTTCTCATTCTTTAGAAATGTGTTGGGTTTTTGTTCTTGGGTTACTTATAATTGTTGGGGTTTTTGCAAAGTTTATTTGTAGGGGTTTTGTTTTCTGTAAATATAGGGAGTGGTGGGTTTTAATTTTTTTATTTTACCAGAGCAAGAGATGTGGCAGGAAATCAAACAAAACATGGATATTTGTATAATTGCTTGTAAAACTGGATACAATAAATTGTATGCAAATGTAAAGAGCTTTGGACATTTATTTTTGCTACGGCAGCAGGACTGTGTCCAAAAGATTTCTATAAAAATGAATTAAATACTGAGCTGCGGAGGATATAGGATAGTTTTGTCTATTTGATCCTGAGGTTCAGTAAGTTAATTAAAATAATAATGATATTGATAAAAATAAAAATATGGCTACTTACTTTGGCTCAGCTTTTTAAAAAAATACCGTTTCAAGGGCAGCAATAACAGCATTATCCTCATATTCTCAATGATCTGGCGGCGGAGCTGTCCGAGGTGCTGACATCTATTCCTGGAAGCTGCTCTGGCTCTTTAGTGTTAACCCTTCCCTGCTGTCTGTGTTTCTACTTGTTTGTTCATTAAAAAAATGAAATTGTTAAAATTTATTTGAAATATCGTTCTGTAAAATGAAAAGTTTTTTGATAATTTGATAGATATGAAACTTGCACAAAGGGACAGCAGTAGCTCAGGAGGTAGAGCAGATTGTCCAGTAATCGAAAGGTTGCAGGTTCAATCCCGGCTCCTACAAGAGAATGCTGCTCGTGTGTGTGTGTGTGTGTGTGTGTGTGTGTGTGTGTGTGTGTGTGTGTGTGTGTGTGTGTGTGTGTGTGTGTGTGTGTGTGTATAAACAATAGAGATGTGTGTAGGTATATTCATGTGTGTATGTATGCATGTGTATGTGTATATGTAGTGGATATATGTGTATGTCTATAAGGATATATATAGATGAAGCATGTGCAAGCATATGGGCATGCGATGCACTTTAATGTATATATGTAGGTATATGTGCAAAAATCCTTTTGCTTGTTGAATTGTTATTATTACTATTAATTTTCTCTTTCTTCTTTCCAAATTGAACTCAAGTCAGCTAACCAGTCGAGCAATTACTTAGTATAGGTTAATTTATAATTATTGTTATTTCATTGTAAAAATGTCATTTTAGTTAAAAAGGGACAAATAACATAAGTTTTCTTCTTTCTGTTCCCTTTTCATTTTATTGGTTTGAGAAACCTCAATTTATTTGTTAGTATTGTTTTGTTTCTATTTTAATAATAAATGAAATCAATTATTAATAATAATAAATATATTCATGTATATATATATATATATATATATATATATATATATATATATATATATATATATATATATATATATATATATATATATATTGATATATATACACACACGTGTACACAAGTATGAATGTGTGTGTGTGTGTGTATATATATATATATATATATATATATATATATATATATGTATATATATATATATATGTATATATATATATATATATATATATATATATATATATATATACATATATGTATATATGTATGTATAGACATATATATGTAAATATACATATATGTACACACACACACACACACACACACACGCACACACATATATATATATATATATATATATATATATATATATATATATATATATATATATATATATATATATATATATATATACACTCAAAAACATATAAACGCAACACCTTTGTTTCTGCTCCGATTTTTCATGAGATGGACTTAAAGATCTAAAATTCATTCCAGATACACAATATTACAATTTCTCTCAAACATTGTTCACAAATCAGTCTAAATGTGTGATAATGAGCACTTCTGCTTTGCTGAGATAATCCATCCCACCTCACAGGTGTGTCATGTCAAGATGCTGATCTGACATCATGAGTAGTGCACAGGTGTACCTTATACTGCCCACAATAAAAGGCCACCCTGGAATGTGTTTGATCTGCTTGGCAAACTAGGTTGGTAACCACCCAGTGTGGCTGAGATTCGAGCAATCGCACAACAGATTCTTGTAGCTCTCAGTGCACTGAAAAGCATTGGCGCCTCTGATACAGATATAAAATCTATCAACACTGTGCTCGTTGATCATGATTCACAACACTTCAAGGCTAAGTTGATTGATTTTGGACTTGCCTGTAAAACAGCTGACTTTCATAGTATGTTACTTTTCAGCCTATTGGCTACAGAGCACCAGAAGTTCACTTTGGTGTCCAAAAGTACGAAGGATTGGACATGTTTGGTCTTGGATGCACATTAGCATTTTTATTTTTAGGGTGACATCTATTTCCCATTTATAGAGAATGTGAAAATGTCAGTCATGGTGAAGCTCCTCGGTCAGCCTAACAAAAGTTTATTAGATGCGGGGAAGGAAACCAAACAGCTTTTTAAATTGGAGCACAGTGGGTCTGCTCCGTTCTGGTCTTTGAAATCACCAAATTCAATTCAATTCAATTCAAAAATACTTTATTAATCCCAGAGGGAAATTGATTGCTGTAGTAGCTCATAATAATAATTATAATAATCAAGTCATCATAGAGTTATTGAATATTACAATGGCTGTTGGCAGGAAGGATCTCCAGTAGCGGTCAGTGTTGCAGCCAAACAGAAGAAGCCTCTGACTGAAGACACTCTTCCGTTGTCGGACAGTCTTGTGAAGAGAATGCTCAGGGTTGTCCATAATTTTCTTGATTCTCTGGAGAATCCTTCTTTGCATTATCTCCTCCAGTGGTTCCACAGTCATCCCCAGAACAGAACCAGCCTTTTTATTAGGCTGTTGAGCCTTTTCAGGTCCCTGCTTCTGATGCTGCTACCCCAACAGACAATGGCTGAAGAGATTACACTCTCAACAACAGACTTGTAGAAGATCTGAAGCATCTTGCTACAAACATTGAAGGACCTAAGTGTCCTCAAGAAGTGCAGTCTGCTGTGTCCCTTCTTGTAAGCGGCTTCACTGTTCTTTCTCCAGTCCAGTCTGTTGTCCAGGTGAACTCCAAGGTGTTTGTATTCCTCAACCACCTCCACTTCTTCTCCTATGATGGAAACAGTGTTTGACTCCACCCTGTTTCTTCTGAAGTCTAAAATAATCTCCTTTGTTTTGTTCACGTTCAAGGTCAGATGATTGTTTCCACACCATGCCCCTAAGCGCTCCACCAGCTCTCTGTACTCAGCTTCCTGCCCATCTCTGATACACCCGACAACTGCAGAGTCATCTGAGTATTTCTGTAGATGACAGGTCTCTGATTTGTACTGGAAGTCTGAGGTGTACAGGGTGAAAAGGAATGGTGAGAGTACAGTCCCCTGTGGTGCTCCAATGTTACTGATCGCCTGGTTTGATGTGCAGTTCTTCAGCCTCACAAACTGTGGTCTGTTTGTCAGGTAGTCTTTAATCCAGGCAATAGTTGAGGCCCCCACCTGTGTCTTCTGGAGTTTCTGGCAAAGTACATCAGGCTGGATTGTGTTAAATGCACTGGAGAAATCAAAGAACATGACCCTCACAGTGCTGCCTGCTTTGTCCAGATGACAGTGGATTGGTTGAAGCAGCTGGATGATGGCATCTTCAACTCCAACTCCATGGTGATAAGCAAACTGCAGCACGTCCTGATATGTTCTAGTTTGCTTATTCAGGTGGACCAACAGGAGTCTCTCCAGGACCTTCATGATGTGGGATGTCAGGGCAACCGGTCTGTAGTCGTCATTGACTGATGGGCGAGTTTTCTTTGGAACTGGAACAAGGCAGGATGTCTTCCACAGGACTGGAACCTTCTCCTGGGCCAGGCTGAGGTTGAAGAGGTGCTGCAGAATCCCACAGAGCTGCTCTGCACAGGCCTTCAGTACTCTGGGGCAGACACCGTCTGGACCTGCAGCCTTGTTCCTGTTCAGTCTCTCCAGCTGTCTCTTCACCTGACTTCAAGAGACAGATAGGTGGGAGGGGGAGGTAAATGGGGCAGCAGCATCTCCTGACATGGTTGAAGACAGATTTATAGAACCAGAAGAGTCCATGACTGCGTTAGAGGATAAAAGAGCTGGCGTGTGACAGGAAAATGTTGGATCAGAGGAGGATGGGATTTCTGATTGGCTGGGGACAGGTGAGGAGGATGCTGGGTTTGTTCCTGAACTCAACCTATTGAAGAACTTGTTCAGTTCATTGGCTGTGTCCAGGCTGCCATCTGTACAATCATTCCTCTGCTTGAAGCCTGTGATCTTCTTCATCCCTGACCAGACATCTCTGATATTGTTCCTCTGTAGTTTGTTCTCCAGCTTCTTCCTGTATGCCTCCTTGCTGTCTCTGATCTTGATCTTCAGTTGCTTCTGTATACTCCTCAATAATTCCCTGTCTCCCTCCTTGAAGGCTCTTTTTTTCTCATTTAGCAGATTATTCAGTTCACTGGTGATCCAGGGTTTGTTATTAGCGAAGCATCTCACTGTTCTGGTGGGTATTATGTTGTCCACACAGAAGTTTATATAGTCAGTGGCACATCCAGTCATGGCATTGATGTCCTCTTCATATCCTTGGCAGAGAGACATCCAATCTGTGGTCTCAAAACAACCCTGCAGGGCTTCTTTAGCATCCTTTGGCCATTTTCTCACAGTTCTTCTTGTCACAGGTTGCCTCTGAACAAGTGGTTTGTATTCTGAGCAGAGAAAAACAAGGTTGTGATCTGATTGTCCCAAAGGAGGTTTTGTTTTAGACATGTATGCATTCTTTACATTTGCATAACACAAATCCAATGTCTTGTTTTCTCTGGTGGAGCAGCTGACAAACTGTTGAAATGTTGGAAGTGTAGCAGAGAGCAAGGCATGATTTAAATCACCAGATATAGCCACAAATACATTGGGGTGCAGGTTTTGTAGCTTAGCGACAATGGAACTGATGGCATCACATGCACTTTCAGCAATGGCTGAAGGTGGAATATAAACGGTTGCCAAGACAACACTGGTGAACTCTCTTGGCAAATAATATGGGCGACAACTTACTGCCAAGAGTTCAACATCTGGGCTGCAGAGACGACATTTCACTGAAACATGACCTGGATGGCACCATCTGTTGTTGACAAGAACTGCCACTCCACCTCCTTTTCTTTTCCCGCTCCTCTTCCGATCTCTGTCTGCTCGTACAGTCAGGAATCCTGGCAGAGAAACGCTGGAATCGGGGATATGGTCCTGCAGCCACGTCTCAGTGAAACACACAACACTACACTGCCGATACTCTGGCTGAGTCCTTGAAAGGGCTTGGAGTTCATCCATCTTGTTGGCCAGTGATCTCACATTGTCCATTGTGATCGATGGAAGAGATGGTTTGAATTTCCTCTTTCTCTGTCTCCATTTTGCTCCCACTCTGCACCCACGCTTCATGCGTTTTAGCTCATTTGGCATTTGTGGCTTCAGTTGAGGTATTATTTCAGCCTTCCCAATGTTAATCAGCTGCTCCTGGTTGTAAACCAGCTTGTTGCCATGGTTACACATCATAACAAATGCTCAAAAAGTGAAAAAAGTGAACACATTAGCGTCAGCACGGCCGGGTTTTGGTCGGACTGGATGGCGTGAGTTTGGTCTCGAATGGGTGGTGTAGTGTTCACATATAAATCAGAGGAACTTCTCAGGAATTCGGAAACACCCGAGCCTGTGGGCGGCTTTGAAAACACGCAGGAAAGTCCGCTCCATAAGGTAAACAAAAGGCGGACATGAGCTGTGCTTTTGGAGACTCTGAACCACATTATTTTATTAATTTGCTGTGTGTGTCGTCATGATCTTGTGCCACACACACACTGATTTCTCCCCTGAGCAGCTGTGTGCTCACCAGGGCAAGAGCTCTGATGCGGAGAATAGGCACACGGACACACACACACACACACACACACACACACACACACACACACACACACACACACACACACACACACAAAGCTATTCTCTTCTCCCGTTCCCCCACTGAACGGCAGCTCCATGCTACAGACAGAAGTTTACTCAACAGCATCCAACGAATCGCGCATGCGGGAAACCCCTGCAGGCTCATTCTTCTCACAGATCAGAGGCGATAGGCGTAATTTCAGCTGGTCAATCAGTCCATAGTGCCGCCTCAGCCCTAGTCTGACCGCTGTGGAAAAGGTCTGAGGAAAAGTGTCGCCTTGGCATCGAAAATGCAAATCTGACCTGTGTGTGAAACTAAATTCCGGTGCCGTTTGATACCTTTTGGGTATGTTAATGTGTAAGCGCCATAAAAGGCTCACCAGGGCAGGTGTGACTAGGTTTCTGATTGCTGTCCCTCCACCAGACCAAAGGGGGTGGAGGTCTACGTGGTAGTGATGGAGAAACCGAAGCTTTCCAAACCATTCAACCAACATGAAGTAAATGGTTCAGTGTTGTTCTGTCTTTTAAAATCTTAATGTAGTTGTTACAGAGGGACTGTCTCAGCAAAAAATCAGCAAACATCCACTCAGGAGTTTTGAATAGGGATGGGTCAGAGAAGATGAAGACTTCTATGATTCAATGCTTCATTCTAATAATGGGATAACTGTTGCAGATGCTTTTTTCTCTGCTTACAGCTCAGCCGTAACAATTTCCCTCCTTGGCTTCAGCGTTACAACCTCAGCCTTAAGCATTGGCTATGAGGTTTCTTTTATTGTTTTAGATCAGTCTGAAACTGATGTTATTCATTGTTTTGTCCTGATTTTGATGTTGTAATAAATGATTGTTTTAACACTCTGAGTCATGACTCTTGACTTCTTTGGGCAAGAATGGACTTATGTACTTAGAGTCCTTAATTACCAAGATGGCGTTGTTGGTTTTGTAATCTTAAACTTCCTCAGTCTGTGCGTAATATGTCACCTTTCAGTTAAGATTAAAAAACAATCTGTAAAAGGACATTTGAAAGACTTTTTAGTTATGGTTCTCTTTCAATACATTCAAATTGAAATATTTGTCTTAACTGAAGACAGGAACCTGTCAGCTGGCATTCTATGATGACTTCTAAAACCATGGCTGTTTTTATGCCTTCAAGCTGCAGGAAAAAAATATTATTTAGGATGTTGTAATGAAATTAAATTTCTCATGAGTATTCACAAAACTCAAAACAAACAAATCAAAAGACCCTGGTCATCAAAAAAGCTCTCATGCACAGTATTTGTACTGAACATGTATTACTTTTTAACAAAACAGGGCACTATACCCTGTTTCCTCTGACCAGCTCATTATATTTGAAGTATTTTAAAAAATACAAAGAATAAATCACACAATCCTAATTATCAGAAATAATTTTACTGATATCAGCTCAGTGACCTGCAACATTTGACTATTTTAGTGTGTTTAGTTACACTTTATATATACTTTGAGGTACATTCTCTCATGACTTGAATCCTCAGAGCAATAGTCTAGAATAAGAAAGGTGAGGGTTTCACATCCACCAGCATTTCCAAATTGCAGCCCAGGGGGCCGTTTGTGGCACTTGGAGCAATTTTGTCAAAAAAAAAAGTACAAATAATTAAAAAAATACATTTTAAATTGTTTCTGCATTATTAAAAAAATAACCTTCAATTTAAAAAGTTTGGACAGCCCAGACTTAGTACATTTTTCTGATAGGATTTTCAGAAATAAAGCACAAGTTTTATTTTAAACAATCCCTTCATGTTGTGTAGAAGAATTTAACAAAATTCTGATAAACATTACGACTAAAATGAGTTTCTAATTATGTGTGGTGTCAAGATGGAGACAAATGAGAAAAGACATATTTCTGGACATTTAATATTTATTCACCAAACCTTTCAAGCTTAAAGGTGGTGTTGATGTTTTATTTTGGGTGACATGCATCGCAGTCTGGCCTCTCGGGTCGTTGGGTCAGTGTTTAGCGGTATCTCTCGGACAGAGCCAAGCCCAGGTTCTGCAGGAACTTGTCCACAGAGACATGGACCTCTGGGGTGAAGTCAGCAGGGAAGTACATGGCCATCACCAAGATGATGTTGTGGGCCAGAATCTGTCACAGAAAACAGGGTCAGACTTTGTTTCAATGAGTTTCATGATGCGCTCAGAACGAGCGTTGCTTCTTACCCTGAAGTTGGCAGGATCCACTCGGAGCTTGAAGGCGTGCAGCTCGCTCAGCTTGCACAGGGCTCCGGGAAGGTCATCGATCTTTGTGACTGCCTCTCCCACAGCAGCCATGATGGTAGCTCCATGCTTCTTCACCTGGGCAGATTCGGGGCTCAGATCGGACCAGTGAGAGAAGTAGGTCTTGGTCTGAGGGTAGGAAACCAGCATCCTAGGGGAAGGAAAGAAAAGTTACAATCTAAATATATAAAATACCTCAAGTATCCTCAAAAAAAGAAAGAATCACACATTTCAAAGTTCAAATTTGAGAACATTAAGAGTTAAAACTCACCTGGCCAGAGCTTCACCACCAATCTCAGCAGACTTGGCAGCGATCTTGTCCCAAAAGGCCTTCACCACGGTCTTGTCCTTTCCAGAGAGACTCATGTCTGCGTTTTCTTCAAGTTTCCTCAACTGAAAGAAAATATGAAAGTGTGGAAATTCTGGTGATGATTTATAACGGTCTTTGTTTTATATCAAGCCCAACGACACCGCACCCATCAAATTTAAACCCCACCCCTCTGATAGAAATGACCAGAAGGTTTCTATAATTCTCAAGATAAAACTAACCACTCCCTCCCCTCTAATGTTTCTGTTAGGTTCTTACACTAACTTGTTTCTGGAATATTGTAAATTCTTATGCTATTTAAACTTTTGATGGAAAAGAGCATCAGAAGGTTGAGGAATTGTTTGCACAGACAGAGTTTGATTTACAACTCATCAAATGTTCATTCCAAAACTAAGTTATTGATGTTTTATTTTTAAAGGAAAAACAAAGAAACATCAGAAGGCAAAGCTATTTTCAAGCATAAATCATGTGAATTATTTAACACAAAGTATGTTTGTTTTCTATAATCAAATCTAGGTTATATCAGAGGTAAAATTGCCAAAGCCATTGCAGTACTACATAACGTTAAGTTTTTACTGAATAGTTCTGGATTGCTGACATTGTATAACTCACTAATTGTTTCATACTTGACTCACTGTGTAGAAAAATGGGGATCCACATGTAAAACTCATACACAACCACTGTTTGTTCTACAGAAAAGAGCATTGAGAATCATTAATAACAATCACTATAGAGATCCACCCAATCCGTTATTCATCAAATATAAAATACTGAAATTTTATGATCTAGTGAATATGAAAATATTGCAAACAATGTATAAAGCTAAAACCAATACGTTACCCACCAACATTCAGAAAATGTTTGAAAAAAGAGTCAGTAATTATTTCTTAAAAGGAACTGAAGTATTTAAAAAAAACTAAATTTAGAACCAGAATGAAGGAAATGGCTATTTCTGTAAATGGCGTGAGAATATGGAACAACCTTACCAAAGACATAAAAGAATCAAAGTCACTAAATATATTTTAAAAAATTTATCAAATCAAGTGTATTACAGAACTACAATAACCTAAATTCAGTTGATGTCTGATAAGGTCTGTAAGTTAAAAGAATATAAAATGAATCCGTGTTTCATTTTGTTTTGTTGTTTATTGAGAATTGTATGGAAGCATTATTAAAAAGTTTGGCTTGTAAATAGGGGAAGATAATATAAGATACTTCTTCCTTCTGCCCCAGAATTTGTTCTTTTGCACATTTTGAAAACATTTCCAGAGTTTGTTTTTTTCTGTTGACAGTTGCAGAGGAGCACGTTGTTATGCTGCACAGAGTCACAACAAAATCAAATGCATCGATTTTATAAAATTATGGCAAACTTCACTTTAAACTTTACTGGCCAACAATTTCCCATTTTTTAAACTAACTATGCAGACTGTTCAAATGAGATCTTTTAGTTTGTTCTCTTTACAAGTTGGTTTCACCAAGATGTAATTTGTTTTCTGAAGAAATCGTAAAAAAGACAAATTCTTATAGTGATGGCTTTAAAATTTCTGCTACTAGATATAAAAGGGTGTGTGCATCTGAAATTAATGATAACTGTATCAAATATGCCGAACCAGCAGGGCTGGGAACCGTTGCCAAGAGGAGGCTCCAGGGTGACTTATTGCTGCTTAGAAGCAAAGTTTTAATTGATAAGCTAAAGTATCGTTGATAGTCTGGTCCTGGGTGAAGCATACACAGCAACATTTTTCAACTGTTTTAGATTGCACCAAATGATTTTAAAGAAAATAAAAGCTGATTTTGAAATCTGTTATGTGCAGGAAATGAAATCAGCTGAGACTGCAATGATGCGGGGTTGTCCTAATAAGGGCAAAACACATGGAGAAACAGAAATGTAAAATTATGTTTTCTATTTAAGTTTCCATCCATCCATTTTCATCCACTTATCCGGAGTCGGGTCGTGGGGGCAGTACCCTAAGTCGAGAGCCCAGACTTCCCTCTCCCCAGCTACTTGGGCCAGCTCCTCCGGGGGAATCCCAAGGCGTTCCCTGGCCAGGTGAGAGACATAGTCCTCCACCGTGTCCTGGGTCTACCTTTAGGCCTCCTCCCGGTTGGACGTGCCCGGAAAAACTCACCAGGGAGGCATCCAAGAGGCATCCTGACCAGATGCCCGAGCCACCTCAACTGGCTCCTCTCGATGTGGAGGAACAGCGAATCTACTCTGAGCCCCTCCAGGATGACCGAGCTTCTCACCCTATCTCTAAAGGAGAGCCAAGCCACTCTGCGGAGAAAACTCTTTTTGGCCGCTTGTATCCACGATCTCATTCTTTCGGTCACTACCCAAAGCTCATGACCATAGGTGAGGGTAGAAACGTAGATCGACCGGTAAATCGAGACCTTCGCCTTCTGACTCAGCTCTCTCTTCACCACGACAGACCGGTACAACGCCCGCACCACTGCAGATGCAGCACCAATCCGCCTGTCTATCTCACTGTTGTGGATCATTATTTAAATTTTCTTTGCAAGTTTGTTGTATTTAAAGTGTTTTTGGAGATGGTCTGTGGTGATTTAGACCGGTGAGGAAGAGCAACTTGCAGTGTGGAGGAGGACTGTTAGACGTGTGTGAGTTGGCTCTAAGAGCCTGCTGTTTGACAGAAAGCCAACAGAGTCATCAATCACATCAACAGCCTTTCATGAAGCTGCCACAAAGTTGACGTTTTGGCTCTAAGCTTCATAATCGGAACTCAGAGGTTTGTGTTTGTGGTGCAGTACCGTGTTTAGTGGACGTTACGGTTAATTCAAAGCCCGCCTAACTGCACCAACCACTATCACATTTACATCACTGCAAGAATCCCTTCATGTTCTTGGTAAAAGTTCTCATTCTGAAACGTATTATTCTGTTTCTGCACAAGACTTTACGCTTCATGTGAATAAAATAATGTAGCAAACAGAAAAACCTTAACATGTAGAAAGAATGAGAACAATGAGCTATAAAGTGTTTATTTTGGGTTCATTTAGTTACATTTTGTACAGTTTTTTTTATTATTACTAAATGATTATCTTGTGGACGTTCTCTCAACTTCATGAATTCATGAAGATAATACATGAAACCTTTTTTATGATCATTAATTTCTTATCAGTGCTCCCCAGAACCCTCTTTGGAGATGTATCGTGGGTATAACCCTTAATCTCTGTGACTCTTGTCCAATCAGACGCTTCTTGAGCAGAGAGGAGTGGCATTATGAAATTAATAAAAAGCTCTAAGGTTAGTCTTCCTTAAACTTTGTGACCAGACTCATTTTTTAAATTATTCTCCCTCCAAGCTTAACGTCGTCACCATGGTCGAGTGGACAGATGCTGAGCGCAGTGCCATCACATCCCTCTGGGGAAAGATCGATGTTGGTGAGATCGGACCCCAGGCTCTGATCAGGTGATCCCATCAGACATGAGGTTTTTCTTGTTGTTTTTAAGTACTAAATAGTAATAAATCTGGTTTTGGGTATTTGTGACCAGGTTTCATTTGAAACAGTTATGCAGCAAGTTGTAAAATTATTTTTCCGCTTGTTTTTCCATACCAGGCTTCTGATTGTGTATCCCTGGACTCAGAGACACTTCGGTGCCTTTGGAAACCTGTCCACCTATTCTGCCATTGTCGGAAACCCCAAAGTGGCCAACCATGGAAAGACCGTGATGGGTGGACTGGAGTCTGCTGTGAAGAACCTGGACAACATCAAGAACACCTACGCCAAGCTGAGTGTGATGCACTCTGAGAAGCTCCATGTGGATCCTGATAACTTCAGGGTGTGTTACCAACTCAGAGGACACATTTTAATCTGCAACTGAAAAGTATCATTAATGCTGTTGGTATTCTTTTACTAGGTTCTTGCTGAATGCATCACTGTGTGCGTGGCCGCCAAGTTTGGCCCCAGCGTCTTCACCGCTGGAGTCCAGGAGGCCTGGCAGAAGTTCCTGGCTGTGGTGGTCTCTGCTCTGGGCAGGCAGTACCACTAGGTCTTAGAATCAGATACAGAGGTCATTGTGAAGTTTCAAAAATGCACTATTTTCTGTCTTGAAGCTGTTGCAAATAAAAATAAAAATAACAAATATATGTGTGTATACTTTTCTTTGAAAAATCCTCCAGTTTCATTTGGTTATTTTGTGCATTTTCTTGAAAACACACTTTTGAAGTTGTGCAATCTTACAATCTGAGCAGCTGAACCAACTTAGAAAATATTTTTAATAAACCAATTAATTGATATTAAAGTTACTATGAATTGGGGTTTAAAAACAAATCTAATGTTGAGTTTAAAGTAATTTGTCTTTGTATGGGCTTAAATTAAAGTGTTTAATGAAATTAAATGAAATTTATAGTTGGATTTTATCATAAAATTATGTTTCTTAGGTTACGATTAAAAATGTGAAATTTCAAAAACAAAATACTTCATTTGTAAAAAAAAAATTAATTTATGATTCCCGAAGCGGAAACTTGAGATACATCTGTCAGCTTTCACTGAAAATGTCATCTATCAGATAAAAACTAATCCTGCTAGAATCTGATTATATTATAATATTAAAACCAGGAGTTTGTCTTTCCCTTTTTTTTAAATGAAAACCTTTGAATAAAGTAAGCAAACTAGCCCAAGTTCACTACCATAAACACAGTCCAAAACTACATTTTAGACTATAGTTTATTGTACATATCATACATCATTAACTTTAGTTGTTATTTACTATCTATTTATTGAAGATACCACATTTTTTTTAGAATTCTATGTAAATGTAGATGTAAATCTACAATAACTGCTTTTTTTTTTAGAATCAAGTGTGGAACTAAAAGCAAAGTTCCTCTTTCTGGACGAGCATTTTTAAAGGTAACACCTAACAATGTCAACAAATAGCAGATGGTTTCACGGAAACAGCCCGACTGTAAGAGTAATTGTAGCCTAATTTATGTTTTAAAGTTACTTTTGAAATGAATCGTGACCTTTAATGCAAAAGTAACATGAAACAAACTAACAGTTTCTCTTTTTGAAGACTCGACTGTGTCTCAGCTAACGCAGCGTTAGCTAGAATGCTAACAAGATGCTTAGCCCTTCATCAGTCGGCTCCCCAGATGACCCTAAATCCATGTACAGTCATCCACAAAACAATGTTTACAGGAGCGGGGATAAAACCAGTCCCATTAGCGTTATTTTAGTTAGTTCTGGCAGCAGAGGGAACAAACTCCTGTTTCGGTTTCCCTTCCAGAGAGCTGCTGAATGTCCGTCTTCACTCTCAGGTAGGAGCAACAGGCAACCTTCCGTTTGTAAACAACCCAGTGTTTCTTGTTTTATGTTGTTACACCTTTATATGGAATCCACATGTAGTAAGAAGGTCTGATCGACATAAAGAAAAGAGCACAGGCAATGTTGGTGACATCTAGCAGCGCCAGTTCTCTTCCTCAAAACAAAACATATTTTATGACTGCATTGTTGGTTTGAAATTTATATCCTGTTAGATTTGATTGACACATTAATCAACATTTAAAAACCAACAAGTAAAAGACATACTAATGGAACAATAATGTTTAATTGCCAAATATTATTTATTTTTGTGGAGCCTTTTAAAATCTCAGTTAAGTTGAGTGAATGCTTCTGTAGGATAAAAGGGTTAAAATGCGCTTTACCAAGTACATTTACAGTCAAGAAAAAAAGAACAATATTTGCGTTACGTTCTTTTACGAAGTAAAGCAAATAACCTAAAGCAATGATGTTTCCCTTCAAGGAAAGAAACGGAACCCATATGCACTGAACACAACTGGGGAGGTTCTTGAAGACCAGGATGGCGACTCCAGGTAAACACGCACACTTTGATCTCTTCAGATTTATAGCTTATTACATTGTCTTCTACTTGTTTGTGATCCTTTTTATTATGTAAACAAAAGGATTTTATTTATAACTCAGTTAGAATTAGTATATAAACACTAGGGATGTAAGAAAATATCAATATGGCAATATATAATGTATCTAGTTATTGGAAGAATTTACATGCCAACATTTGTGCATTATCTTTTTTGGTGAAATTTGAATGCAGACCGCTAGTTGGCAGCAGTGTGCAATAGGTTCTGTTTCCATCATTGAAATGTAAATCCCTCTGTTATGGTTAAACGTGTTACGTATCAGTTTGGACTGTTTATTGAATTTTCCTACAACAAATTCAGTCTTAAAAATAGCCAATATCGTCTGGCTGAATGTATCGCAATATATTGTGATATTAATGATAGATGACCCACACTTGTATAGTGCCTTTCAGAGTCAGAGGACTTCAAAGTGCTTTACACTACAGTGCATCATTCATCCATTCACACACACATTCACACCCTGGTGGTGAGCTACACTGTAGCCACAGCTGCCCTGGGGCACACTGACAGAGGTGAGGCTGTTAGGTGTCTTGCCCAAGGACACAAATGCAGCATCCTTTATCCGGAGCCAGGATCGAACCTGCAACCTTCCGATTACTGGACAACCTGCTCCACCTGTTGAGCTACTGCTGCCCAATCCCAATGCCCAAAGTGATATATCGTATTGTCTCCCCTGTATCGTGATACATATTGCATCGCCATAGTTGCACCAATGCACATCCCTAATAAACATCAAGAATTAATGCAAATATTTCTTCTAAATAAACCAAAATGATGTTGTTTTCTGTGATGCTCACACTTGTTTCAATGGGATTCAACTTTTAGTTTTTAAGTAAATACATGTGAGAGAATACATTGATTTATTGAACAATGGAACATATATAAATCATATATTAAGTATGAGGCTCCCATTACTGTTACTCATAAGGCTTTTAAAAAACAACAAACAAAGTCAGGCCAAATATAGTAAACAAAACTGAGCTGCTGAGAAGTCAGGACTCATGATGCAAACATAAATTATATGAAACAAAAGCTATTTTGCATCACTAATGTTTTTTATGTCTGCTTTTGAAAATAACACAACACAACCTTTATTGTGTTTTACATTATTTCCATTCACAGATGGGGATGCTGGTCCGATGTTCATCATTTTAAGTTGAATTAGCAGCAAATGGGTTTATAGCAGTTGCATGTGTGTTTGGGTTGATTTTTTCCATTTTGTGTCCAACTGTATGTTGCATTTTCCATTCTGTTTGCTTTTTTTCTTCTTTTTTGTGGCCCAATCCTCATTTCAGGGAGCAATCTCCACTAACTGATGAACAGTTGGTAGCCGGGTAAGACCGAATCGCTCTGAACCATCCTTCCTTCGCTTAGATCACCCCTGTCTTTTTATCCCTTATTTTCTAATTTGTGCCCTGTATGGATCTCAGCCCCTTATCTCAGTAAAACTTTTGTAAATAATCAATAGAAAATGAAAACATGCTTGCTAAAATAATCGGTTTTAATCGACACAGATTATATACCTGTAGTCTGTTGAGGGACACACTTTATATCAAATGCTAACTAGTTTGGTCAATAATGCTTGTTCTTTCCTGGAACTATGGTGGTGGATTAAGTCCATAGACTACCTAATCTTCTTCACCTTAATTATGAATCTCTCTGATTGCAGCATGAGTTACTTCAGTCAAACCAGCATGACTTTTTCTCATTCACATATCATCCATAGCTCTATTTTCTACAATGAGGACTTTTACTATTCTTACCTGTGCAGCATCCACACACTCGTTTCATGTTTAACCTGATGCTGCTGTTAAATACACAACAGTCTGCTGAATCTAGTAAAAACACACATCTGTAAACATGGACGCTGACACTCAGAGAAAACAGACACTTAACCTTTCGGTCTTTCCTGTCCTGAGATCTCTTTCCACACAGTTTCTCGCTGACTCAGCATTTTTTTCCTCCAGGTTTTCTGACATAATCCTCGCCACCATCCTGGCCACCAAGTCTGATATGTGTGGGAAGAAGTTTGAGCTGAAGATAGACAATGTTCGATTTGTGGGGCACCCTACCTTCCTGCAGCACTCGCCCATCATCCAGGTGGGAAGATGGTGTTTGATTTTTACTTCTGCAAAGTCTCCATATAAGGAGCAGAGCATATATGTAAAACATACTGGGGATTTAATATCTACACCATTACTTTTATGACTAGAGCAGGATTTTATGAATTAGGTCACAATATTGTTTTATTGGTCAACAGTCACATTAGCTGGTTAATGATTAGGGATGCACGATATATCGGTATCGGCCCGATAAGTACAACTGGGTTGATAGTAACAACCGCTATTTTTTCCATCTTATTTCCATTTCTGTATCTGTATATATATATATATATATATATATATATATATATATATATATATATATATATATATTAGAGGTGGGAAAAATGATCGATTCTAAGATGCATCGCAATTCAGCCGTGCATGATTCTGCATCGATGCAGCAACGTGACATAATGAGATTCTCACTATGTCTATGTTCTGGACGCGTGAGGAAAATCAAGTTTTGAGGTTTTACAACTACTTCCAGGGGCAGAGTTGCAATGACATGTGCATTGTGTTGCCCTAGCGCAGGGGTCGGCAACCCGCGGCTCTGGAGCGCATGCGGCTCTTCCATCCATCTGATGCGGCTCTCTGTGCTTGTAAAATAATGAATGGATATTTTAAAAAAGAGCTTTATATTTTACTGCATTAATTTTACATCTGTGTGCCAATTCTAAATGTAAAGATTGTCTGCGTAAACCTGAACAGGTCCAACCCGGTCTTACTGTGAGACCGGGTTGACGCGTCACGCTTGTGCGCAGTCTGAGCTGAAGAGGATGTGAGATTCTGGGCTTCTCCCCAGACAGGCTCGTGGATGTGTCGCCACATTGGAGACAGGAACAAGCACTATTCAGCCAAAGTTTCATAATCAGGGAACATTTTCTAAGTGACAAGTCTCTCTGAGGGACAGGGTTTGGAAAACGCTCGCTTCAGTCGGAGGAATCTTCCCGCATGCGCTCTGGTTCTGCGACGCCCCTCTCCACATCCTCAGCTCGCTGTGGACCGTACGTACGCACTGACAGCGAGCTGTCTAAGCCGTGTCACCTGTTGTGATTGGTTAAAGCAGCTCTCTCCACAGTATTTGTTTACTATTTTTAAGTTCAGCAGTATTCTATCATAAAGCTGCTCTACAGAAAACATTATTTATTATATTATTTAAGTACTTATAGGCAGCACACTTTAAAAATTGTTGCTCACTATAGTAAATAGATGTATGTTCTGTATTTCAGGGATATCGAAATAAAAAATAAACTGAAAACTATTCTGCTTTTATTAAGTAATGAAAAATTTAGTGTGAAGAATCGTGATGCATTTCAGACTCAAATCGAATCGTTAGGCAGATAATCGGAATCGGATCGAATCGTGAGGCAGGTGGAGATGCACACCACTAATATATATATATATATATATATATATACAAATATATATATATATATATATATAAATATACACGTGTGTGTGATATATATATATATATATATATATATATATTTATATATATATAACTATACACGTGTGTGTGTGTGATATATATATATGTGTGTGTGTGTGTGTTTATATTTAGTAATTTTGTTAATTTTGCAACTTCCAGGTGTCCAGGCGAAACTCACGGGGCTCAACAAAGTGGAGAATTTTTCCATAGTTTAGAGTTAGTTCTGTAGTTTTAGCCTGACCAGCCAGCCCCATGGGAGGTAATATAGTTCTCTGTGTAGAATTAAACAGAGGACGAGTCTGGCAGGCCCGGCTACTGTAGTTTACCATCAGGCACACTTAGTGTTTTCTGCTGACTCATGTTTGGACACACAAACTGTTTTAGAATCTGAATACAGGGAAATTCACAGTTGAATTAGCTTGTCTCTTAAGAATTGCTATAGCTAAACTCAATGTTATAATTTGTGATATATATGTTTTTGTTTTCCAAGCAAACACGTTTAAATGCATTTTAAAATTTAACCCATTTCATAAAGAATTAAATTTAGTTAGATGAATTTTAAAGATAGATCTTCAGTTTTGCATAGAGGCTTGTTATGAGCTTTAACTTTTAAGACCCTGATGTGACCACTGGTTAATTATTTTGTAAATTGTTGTCAAACCTTTTTAACATGACATGTGCACAGAGTGGAGCTAAAGGAAGGAGAGCTGTTACCAGATATTTCCTTTTTATTTTCTTATATAAATCTATTTAATATTCTAAAATGATTAAATTCAGTTATGTTTGGCAGATCAGCGCCACCTACAGGCAAACCAAACACTTGAGTTTCACTAGTTATTAAAAGAAAGATGGAAGATCTAAAGCAGTTCAGTAATCTTATTTAATATTCCCACATGAAACAAACAGAATGAGTTAAAAGTGAACTATAAAGGTTTATTTAAAACAACCAGATTTCACTCAATGCTGCTTTGGCAATTTTAGATAAAACATTTTAGTTTTGCCATTTTTTAAAGTCAAAAATCAGAATAAATAGCGTTGTGTTAAAGCAGTTGTTTTGATGTATTATATTAGATATTTATAATCCTAAAAAATGTTTAGATTGTATAACTGGGGAAAACACTTCATTTTCTTTGTTTCTGTATTTACAAACATCAATATTTATCTTGGTTTAGCAAAAGCAGTTTGGTGCAAAAACAAAGTTATTAAAATAACTGTTTATTCTACATTCATGTGGTGTTTGACATGACTTTACTATGACTGCTTTTACAGTAACCAGATCCTGTGATAAAGTGCAAGCCTGTTCAGAAGAACCTGTGTTTTGTTCCACTAATGAAATCTGTTTTATCTCACAGCTTTCTAAAACCGATCCTTCGCCCAAGAGAGAAATGCCTACGATGATCCTGTTTAATGTGGTCTTTGCTCTGAGGGTAAGAAGGGATCTGGGACAAATATTCCTGTTTAATATTTAATGTTCAACTTACATCAGGCTTCACTCTTTTCTTAAATCAGCTTTTCACTGAGTGGTACATTTTAGCAACTTATGGGTGGGACACAGAAGTGTGTGTTCTGTTAATCTGGGTGTGTGTGTGTGTGTGTGAGAGAGTGTGTATGATAATACTTGACTATCACTGACTGCAACTAAGGGAGGAGGGGGTGTTTTTTATGCTTAATCATGCCCAGCTCTGTTCCGCCCATGCTGAGTCATACTTCCCTGCAGGACCCACTATAGCTCAAATGGAGCTTAAAGTGCTCTGTCATGTTTACAGTTCAAGATCTGCCCAGTAACGCATTAATGCACCTCTAGAGCCACTAAAGTCCTCCTTTGTTATGTTTTTTCTGTGTTGCTTAATACCCATTGTTTCAGTGTTCTTAATACAACATCAGTGGATGCGCAAAATATTGGAAGTCGAATGCATTTTTGAAACAGTCAGTGAAAAAAGGTAAACAACAAACTTTTACTATTCTGTGTATTATTAAGAGCACAAAAACAATGGACTAACGTCCTTCGGTTAACATACAGGTGAAAATGAGAATATGATGCAAAAGTTCATTTATGTCAGTAATTCAAGGTGAAACTAATCTATGAGACAGACTCATTACATGCAAAGCCAGGTATTTCATGTGTGTTATAACTGTGATGATTATGGCTTATAGTTTATGGAAACCCCATATTCAAACAGACAATTAGAATATTGTAAAAAAAAGTTTAATATTCTAGATTTAAAGCATCACACTCTAATCAGCTAATGAGCAGAGGGTTCCTGGGCCTTTAGATGGTTTCTCAGTCTACGCTGGATTAATGAAATAAATGAACTTTTGCACAACATTCTAATGTTTCCAGTTTCAGCTAACAAATATGAGCAAATATATAATTTTCTCATTCTTTTGTCTAGTTTTAATTTGTCTTTTTATACAGAAACTGAACTGAGCAGCAGGTTCAAGCAGGATAGCCGTTCCTTACATTTGGTTAAATTTAAACATTTCTTTTTCTCTTCAGGCCAATGCTGACCCGTCTGTGATCAGCTGCATGCACAACCTGTCCCGGCGCATCGCCATAGCCCTGCAGCACGAGGAGCGCCGCTGCCAGTACCTGACCAGAGAGGCCAAACTCATGCTGGCTGTCCAAGATGAAATCACCACAGTGACTGAGAGTGAGGAGCCCTCTCAATCGTGTTGTGTTTGAAGCAAACCAGACATTTTATTTAAAGGTGCAGTATGTAAGATCATACTGAGAATTTTACAGTGAGAAAATCCCCTAATGTTTCAGTCATTTTGGAAGGAAGGTTATACTGAAACATATTTCATATCCAGCTGGCTGCTGGATTGTCCGTTTTTCTCCTTTTTAAAACAAAGGAAGGAGGGACGTATTTACTGTTTACCATCAGTGAGTGTGGGGTTGCCGTGTCTCCTGCGACCTAATGCTGCAGCGCCGACAATTGTAAATTGACTACGGCCAGCAAAAAGCTCCAGAGTTGTTTAAAGGGGTTGCAGTATCCAAATTCTACCACAGGATGTAATTTTTACTTAATTTCTACATAATGCACCTTTAATGTAATGTCTGCTGATGTTTTTGCATATTATTGGGTTGTGTTTTAACCAAGGTTTCTCTGATCCTGATGTCAGTAGGTGGATGTCCTCAGTCCCCCTTCAGACAAATCCTACCAAAATGTAAACTAGCCCGAGACCTGAAGGAAGCTTACGACAGGTCTGTGTTTGAACACAACACACATGCATTACTCTCCTTGCACTAGAACAAGTAGAAAGATTAATAAGCTGACGTGCGTTCCTCAGCCTTTGTACAACTGGTGTGGTTCGACTACATATTAACAACTGGCTGGAGGTCAGCTTCTGTCTACCGCATAAGATCCACAGGATCGGTGGAAACTACATCCCGCCAGAGGCACTGGAGCGCAGCCTAAAGGCTATAAGGTAGATTTCAGTTGTTATATGTGACTCGATTTACTTTTGTTTGGTTGTTTGTAGAGTAATTAAATGTTTTTGCTTATTCTCTGACTATCAGCTGTATATATATATATATATATATATACATATACACACACATATATAAATATATATACACACATATATATACACACACACACATATATATATATATATATATATATATATATATATATATATATATATATATATATATATATATATATATATATATATATATATATATATTCATTACAAATGTTCATTGCAAAGGATAAACCCATCATTCAAACACACACATGTTAACAAGCCAATGTAGATCAGCTGATCTGGGGAAAAGTCTCCGACCTTTGACCTTAACCCTCTTCTCTCTGATCCGTTTATGTGAGAGACTTCTGCGTACTGGGTTTTTGTGGGCTCTACCACCACCTACTGCCTGTTCAGCTCTCCAGTTAGGCCAATACATTTACCCACCCAAACTTGTGAAGCAGAACCTTTCATTGCTCAGGCCGTAGAAATATTTAAATTTCAGCTTAAAAGTCACATTTTTTTGCCGAACATAGAGCTATTTTAAAAAATTTGTGTTTTGGTTTTGGCTCATTGCCATTTAATCCACTTTAATTTGTATTTAACATTTATAATGTTTTGTGATTTCCTTAATGGTAAAACACTATCCAAGTAAATCTGAGACTGACGCTGAAGCGCCAGTAAAAGTTTATGTACCATCTCCAGCAGAGATTGTGTGAACTGAGATGCAGTCTTTGACCCAGCAGGCCTTACCATGCCCTGCTGCTGCTGGAAAGTGAGAAGGCACTGCTCAGCCAACTTCCCCTGGACTGCTCACCTGCGATGGTTCGCCTGATTAAAACTTGCTCAGCAGTGAAAAACCTGCAGCAGCTTGCCCAGGACGCTGACCTGGCCTTGCTTCAGGTACCAAACCTGCATCACTCTTTTACAAGGAATTTAGTCAATCTTAAAAGTGTTTTAGTGGTTTATATTTTTAACATTTAACATGATACCACTGGAGATAGGCACCAGCCCCCCCGCGACCCTACATGGACAAGCAGGTTCAGAAAATGGATGAATGGATTTAAAATGATATGTGAGAAGAAAATGTTTAGGCTGAGCTTAGTTAGTGACTTACTGCCCCCTGGTGGACAATCTGCTGAACACCCATTGGAGAAAATACCCATTTGTGGTACAAAAATAATAACAGTAAGTTTAGAATAGTTGCAGCATGTTTTACATTATACATAATTTTGTTTTTGCTCGCTCAGATCTTTCAAATTGCTGCCCACCTGGTTTATTGGGGCAAGGCGATCATCATCTACCCACTGTGTGAGAATAACGTCTACATGCTGTCTCCTCATGCCAACATCTCTCTGTGAGTCTGATCGCAGCTGCTGAATAACTAATGAGTCCTAATTGTATAAATTATTTATTCACATCGCTGCGTCCTGAGCTTTTATTAACAAGTGTGGCGTTAAACCTTTGCTTTTAATAAATATTGATCTCTTGCAGCAGTTTTTCTGTGACCGGAAATCCTACTTAGTGTAAAATGATCTTAAAAGCAACATGGAAAATGATTTTTGTTAAAGTATGTGTGTATTTCTCCCTGAATAGATACTCCCCATTAGCTGAGCAGTTTTCCCAGCAGTTTTCTGGCCACAATCTGCCCTCGATGTTAGCCAAATTTTCACTTCCCGTCTCATTGGCTGAGTTCAGGAGTCCTCTGGAAGCTCTGGCACAGGAGGTGAGCTGCTGAAATAGTCATTAAATACATGATCACACTTAAAAATATGGTGCAAACTAGAAGTCGACGTTGGTTTTTCTATTGCCAATAAAGGTCATGGTCAGCAGATGGCCGGTTGGTGCTGCTGCTATTTTGGGGCAAATATTATATATAATATATTTCTACATTATTTTCATGCTGTCTTGGCAACCTTTTACATAGACATGCCCCCTCGCGGGCCCTTCGCTCAGCCGGCGGGGAGCTGTTGATCGTTCTACGCACTAAGTGCAGGTCACGGGGGGGCCGTGCGTTCTCTGTGTTGGCACCTGCACTTTGGAACCAATTGCCTTTGGTGGTGCGTCACTCACCCTCATTGGGGGTTTTTAAGACTCGCCTTAAGACCCATCTTTTTGTCGAGGCATTCCAGGATTAGCTAATTTTACCCGGTTTCGATGCCCCGGCCTCTTAATCTTTTTCAGGATTGTATTTTTTGCTTTTACTCTCCTCTGTTAATTGATTTTATGTTGGTTTTACGATTGTTATATTTTATTCTGACGGTTTTATGTATTTATTGTGTTGTGTTCAGCACCTTGGGCATCTGCATTGGTCGCAGAGGGGGCTTTATGAATAAATGAAATGAAAACGTCACTAATAACATCAGTTGATGCACAAAATTTCAGAAGTTGAATAGTTGTTTGAAAACTGAATTTAACCAGCTTTTAAATCTTAATTTTGTGCACTGCTGTGTTAAGATCAGACATCAAACTAAAGTTAATAAAAATAAAATAAAATCAGTAAAGTGATAACTGAGTGTTAAATATTCAAAACTGGTGAATAAAAAATAAATTTGAATTGAAAAGAATTTAGAGCATTTCTGCAACAGCACCGGGCTTGTGTCTGACTTTAAATCGTCTTTACTAAGGAGGAGGTATATCGGCTGATTCCGATATATCAGTCCGCCCCTTGAGGAAAAACTTGCAGCTTGATTTCTTTTAATTCCAGTTGTCATTTATTCAGATGAAGTAAAAGTCTTCGTGTTTTTATTCAAGGAAGAAAATAAGTGAATCGATACTTTCGAGGGGTTGCTGATCCAACAAAAAATAACATATAGTCATTTATTAACAGTGACGGCATGATCATTTTGTTCAAAGATAAAAGAAAACAAATTTACTAAAGCTAATAATTAGCTGCCTAATGCTAATATGTGCTCGTAATGCTAACAGAATGCTACGGCAATTTAACCTGATCAGCGTCATTCTCCTGCTCACGGTAAATTCATGTTAGAGATAATTATCACGTATCACCTTTGTTTGAGGAACTGAAGTGATCAGGCTCAGTGTGTGTCACGTCTAAAACAGTCCTGGCAGAAACAACTCTCTGTTCTCCATCTGTCTACATCAGGGGTGTCAAATATGCGGCCCGCGGGCCGGATCCGGCCCGCAAGCGGGTTAAGTCCGGCCCGCGAGATGGTTGTGTAAACTTTGTATTTTCACTCTACATTGTAAAGTATGAAAATAAACGTATCTTTGTGAGCAAGTTTCCTCTGTAATGAGTATAAATAAAACAAAGCTGCGCTCAAGGCTCACACAAGAACTTGAATCACATCCTGAAGTTGGCCGCCACTCAGGATGTGACTTCTGATATTGATGTGCTGGTGAAAGCTAAAGGATGTAAAGTAAAATATATTTTAAGTGCTGCATGAAACTGATCTAGCCAAGTGATCTGTAAGCTCTTTGAATCACTAAGGAATGTATTTTTTATTTGATTTTTTTAATTTTTTCAAATTTTCAAGCACACTTCAGGTGTTGTACTTGTACTATTTTATTAGACTGTCCTCAGGCTCCAGCCTTATTTTATATTGATTGTATTAAAACAAAGAAAACAATCTGAAGTTGTTTTTTATTTACCGGTCCGGCCCACTTGGGACTAGATTTCCCTCAACGTGGCCCCTGAGCTAAAATGAGTTTGACACCCCTGGTCTAGATGGAATATGAGGTTTAGGTATTCGGCTCTAGCAGAGCGTCAGCGCATTTACGTCTGAAGCTTTTAGGTTTTTGATCTGTGAATCTTTCAGTATTTTAAAACTTTTTTTAGTCGTGATTTGTTTTCATTTAAAAACAAATCACAGATCTAAAATAAAAAGATCATGCATGGAAACTAATGTCATATGGAATCTCACATTTTGCATTTAAATGCAAAACTTTTTAATACAGTTTTTAACACGATTTAAACCAGAGTTTCATCATATTTTTGTTTATGATCCGTGTTGTTTAGATGGAACTGTTGACGATGAATGACACATCACCTCCAGCTTCTTCATTTTCATGAGAACTGGTGGTGTTTTGGTTCTTTCTTGCTGATGTATTTTGACTTCTTATGGTCACAGTAAATTTTTTAAAAAGTCTAACTTGGTTATGTGAGCATGTTGTGATACAGCTATTGTTGTTTCTGACCAGGCCCAGCTGATCCAGATGGTGGTGTGGATGCTTCAGCATCGCCTGCTCATCCAGCTGCACACCTATGTCTGCCTTTTGATACCGCCCGGTGAAGATGAGCCTGGGCTGAAGGAGGAAGAACTTCCCCTGGCTGCCCGAGTCGGAGGCCGGAGTCTCAGCACCCCGAGCGCTCTGAGTTTCGGTTCACCTAGTAGGTCTTCTTCCTTCTGTTCTCCTCCCTCACAGGTGTCAGACACCGTTCTGAGTCTGTCTCCATGTTTGTAGCGAGCAGCGATGACATGACTTTAACTAGCCCCAGTATGGAAAATTCAAGTGCAGAGCTGGTGGCGGGTGGAGATTCGCCTCTAAACAAAAGGATGACAGAAACGCTGCTCACAAGTCTGTCAGAGCACGAGAGGCAGGTCATTCTTAGCATCCCAGCTGCACAAAATCCAGAGGATCTGCGAATGTTTGCAAGGTAATGAAGTCCACGTTTAACAAGTAGAGCTTTGTGTTTGTTTTTATACTTACTGGGTTGGGTGTTTTATTGTAAAACATAAGAACAGATAAAATATGAATGTGTTTCTGCCTTTTTTTTCCAATTCCAGGTTGCTGCATTATTTCCGGGGACATCACCACCTGGAAGAAATTATGTACAATGAGAACATGAGGCGCTCGCAGCTCAAGACGCTGTTCGACAAGTTCCGCAGTGTCCTTGTAGTGACCAATCACGAGGATCCCGTAATTTCCATCTTTCAGTCTCCCATGGATTAGCAGCTGTTTCAGAGCAGATAATCTGCTCACAGCCGGGTTCTCCTTCACCACAAACTGAGACGAAAGCATACGCGTGTAAAGATTTACAACACATGAAAAAGTGTTCTCTCTTTGAGCCAAATGTGGGTTTACAATATAAAATTATTTTGTAAGCAACGGACATGCCTTAAGAGGCCACTGTGAATACTGGAAGGACTGGTGTGCTGGGAGATTGACGTGATCTCCCCACCCGCTTCACGGGGTCACAGTGATCCTTCCAGACCTCCAACTACCTTTTTTTAAGAATTCCAGAGGTTTTGATGGAAAAACTGTTATGAAAAGGAAGAGACGGAGCATCAAACTGATGGTTGAGGGGAAACTGAGCGTTCCAAACATCTGTGGAGTCACTGAAAGGAACATTTCCCACGTGGGAATGGAACATCACAGATGACACTGAGAAAGACGGTTCAGTACTTTGACAGGCACTGATCTACTGAATCCACTTTGTTAGATCTGCTTGGTTACTCCGTTACACTCTTCTGTATACTTTTGCATCAATAAATGCATTTCAAAACTGTAAAATAATTTTTCTATCCTTTCAAATCCCAGCCGGAGTTTATTTCATCACTTTGACTTTGAAACAGCTGCCTACATATTCTCCATATAATGGCACAGTTTCATGTTATGTTCTGTGTAACGTTTGGGGTATTTCCACACCGCAATCAGATAACGTATGCGAGTTTAACTTGGGGTGGGGGGCCCAGATGGAAAAGCATTTTTAGGAATCTTCCTCCGTTCTCTTCCTCTTTACAGACGGCACATCTCGTGGACCTGAACTGAACATTACATTTCCAGATGGAGACAGCCTCTCTGCCTCTTTATTAACAACGCTAACACACAGGTGCCCATGGAGATAAAACCTCCATGGTTTCTTGGCCCATTCCCCGTGGGACTCGATCCCGATGCGAGGAGCTGATACTACGTCTTGGGGCTTTGCCAGGCTTGTGTCTGGATCGGACTCCAGCCACACCTCTGGGTCTGAAGCGAGGTCTCTACGGTCAAAACAGCGAGGTATATTTAGAGCCTGGCACAGCTTTGAAGGCCCGTTACAGAGCTCTTTGTCCTTCAGTTGGCGAGCCCCTTCTTTGCGCCTAGCTGCCCTCAGCTTCCTCATGACAGAGTGACCCTGGAGGGGCTCCAGAGAGCGCAGCAGAACAGCAGCACCCTCCCCTGAGGAAACGGCACACAATATGCATCCATTAGCAAGGCTCCATTAGGTCTCATTCCTTTTTCTCTTTCGCCAACAAAATAAAACAAATGCTGACTAGCTCAAATAAAACACAGAGCAGAGCTGCATGTGTGCAGTGAGGATGGACATGACCGTACCTTCACTGGACACGTTCATGCACAGATAGATCCCATAGATTGGATACACATAGATTGTGCCTGGCTTCATAAACATGGCTGTGTTTCTTTCAGTGCGTTTGCCTCCAGATGAGTGTGAAGCTTTGTCCTCTCCTCCAGGATACGCTTCAGTTTCCACTATCCTCCCGCGCAGCTCAGTTCCATCTGCACACCTACGGACCAACACCTGGCAGACAAAGGTCTGGGATTAGTTGACAAGCAGAGAAGTTATTCACTGAAAACTTGCAGGGAATACATGTGTTATTGTGTTCTGATACAATTACATACTAATTATGTTTTCACATGGGATTTTAAGATAATTGTGATTTTTTAAAAATATTTTATTTATTTACCAAACTGGAAATAAGGACACTATGTGAGACAAAATTATTTGACTTCCGTTTCGTTTTCTGATTAATTCCTACACTGAAAAAACACTTATAGGTTTTTGCAGAGATCTGGTCTAGTTTGATCGTTTTAGTGCACCAACCTAGTCCCACAGTACATTCTGATGTAGTTTTATAGCATTTTAATAAGAAAGGAATGACGCACTTTTGATTTTTAATAAATACTGGTTTATTTAGAACATCTTTTCCTAAAGATAGGCAGATTTTGATATGTGGGGGTGAGAATTTTAGTTAAGGGTAAAATGAAGTGTTGCTAATAAAAGTAATAAAGCATAAATGTTAATTATTAGTACCTTGCCAAGGAACGATCTAGCCAGACTGATACAAGGCTGATTAAAGAAGTCCTGCTCCAGTCTGTGCTGAACGACATTGTTGCTGAAATAACGACTTCGCTCCGGTTCAACGCTTGGAGTTGGGTCACATTTAACTGGCTTCATCGGTGGTTCACGTTTGGACAAAGCCGGCTCTTTCTGTGTTGGATCAGCTGTTTTTCTCTTCCTTGCAGCCATAACATCGACTCGGCCCACAGCGGGGCTCTAAACTAAAATATCTCCACCACACGCCCACTCCAAAGGTCTTCCTGTGTTTCACTAGCCTGGCAAGCCAGACAAAATAAATGTATTATTTAGAATTTGGTCTAGTTCACTAGGCTATGTTTCACTGCAGCGTTGATGATTGTATCGTACTACATACCGGAAGTAAATTATTGTTTTTTTTTTCTTCTCTTAAAGGGACCGCGCGCCTTTTTGACGTGATGTGATCACAAGCATCCAAGAGCATCTGGCTGCAGACATCAGCTTTTTTTAAACAAACTTTATTTGTTTTTGTCAAAAATACATAGTCGCACTAACAAACATACATCAAATATACACACGAACAGACATCAGCTCATTAATTGACAAGAGGCACATAACAGATAATACAACCTTCCAAAAGGTACATTTTTTGATTGTTTTTGTTATGCAGGGTCAATCAGAAATAAACATTGAAGACTTATTAAAGTGAGTTCTGCCTTCTTATTTACAATTAACTTTATGGTGTTAACATATGAATGGAAGTCATTTAAGAAAACGCAAAAGTTAGGGAGAGATTTGGAGACCCTCGCTTTATGTATATGAAATTTCCCTAAAAGAAGCATTAAATTATTTATAAAACTTAACCTTTTATCATTACATTCAAACTTGATAATAACATCCTTAGATCTGATTTGGATAGTGTGTTTGGATTTAATCATAATGAAATTTTCCATATCTTTCCAAAATCCAGATGAGAGAGGACAATTATAAAATAAGTGTATGATAGTCTCTGAACCAGTGTGACAAAAGGTACATTCCTCATCCAGATCCTTGAACAATGATATTTTTTTGTTACATGGATAAATATTGTGTAAAATTTTGAAATTAAGTTCCCTTATCTTGTTTGAAATACAGTATTGAAAGTGAACCATCCATGCTTTCTTCCAATTTATATCAAACTGTGTGTTCCAGAAAAACTTTCCTTTGGGTGCCACTGTATCAGAACAACATAAAACCTTCCTTATATGCTGGTTTGAACATTTCTTGTCTAATAAATCAATACCCCCAACTTTTAGAGATGGCATCTGCAAACTAAATCTCTGATAAACAGAGTGTGCTCTCATTAACTCAACTATGCCTGAAGAAATGGCTCTCATGACCGAGGCAAATTCTCTGTATTTCACTGGAAAGTCCTTAGTTTTCAAAAAGTTTTCATAGGTATAAAGGCTTCCGTTATCATCAAATAAATCCGCAGCAAAAATGATGCCTTTCTCAACCCAATTAATTTTGTATAAGCTTTTGTTGTTTATGGTAATATTACCGTTATTCCATAATATTTCTTTGTGTGGGGAGAAATTATGTATATGGCATAATTTCCATGCAAGTAAAGCCTGCTGGTGAAACATTGAAAGTTTCACTGGTAATTTAGAAATAATAAAGTTGCAACGTAACAGAAAATTTAACCCCCCTACCATTTTAAATATGTTGTGTGGAATAAAATTCCATAAAGATTCTGGCATTTCTAGACATTTTTTAATCCATTTGACTTTAAAGGTGTTGTTAAAGTGGAAAAAATTTAAGAGTTCTAAGCCCCCCCTTGCTCTTTCCAGATAGAGTATGTCTTTTTTTAGATGATGATACCTGTTCTTCCAGACAAAGTTTACAAATAAACTGTTAATTTCTTTACAAGTTGCATCATTAACATGAAGGGAGAGGGCGGGATATACTAACCTTGATGTGCCTTCCGCTTTTGTTAACAACACCCTGCCAAAAATAGAGAGGTCCCTTTGCAGCCACATATTAAGAATCAAATGAGTTTTTTTAATCCTTGATTGCAGATTTAATGTTTGTCTCATCATTTTGTCTTTTATTATGTGAATTCCTAAATATCTAACAGTTTGTTTGACGGGAATATTGAACATATATTGGTCATTGGTCTCATATAAACATAAAATTTCACTTTTATCAACATTTAGCTTCAGTCCTGAAGCTTCTGAAAATTCTCGTATTGCATGTAGAGCATTTGGTATCTGTGATTTATCTCTAAGAAACAAGACTGTGTCATCAGCCAGTTGGGACATCTTAACTTCTCTATTAAAAATTTCTAAACCATGAATATTTGGATTGTGTGAAATATTTAAAAACAAAAGTTCAGCGGCAATCAGAAACAAAAAGCAAGAAATTGGGCAGCCCTGTCGTACACCTCTTAATATTGGAAACCTCCCAGACATCTGTGGATATAAAATTATTGAGCTGTTTAAATCTTTATAAAGCATTTCAATAACACTAATAAACGACTCTCCGAAACCTAAAATTTGAAGTGTTTGTAAAATGAAGGTGTGTTCAATCGAATCAAATGCCTTATAAAAGTCGAGGAAAATCATCAAAGCATTTGAGTTTATAAAATGTGAATAATCGATTAGATCCAACACTAGTCTAATATTAGAGCTAATGTGACGTTTGGGAAGAAATCCGTTCTGGTTTTCACTTATTATCTCACCTAAATCCTTTTTTAGTCTTTTCGCATACACCAAAGATAAAATTTTGTAATCAATATTTAAAAGTGAGATAGGTCTCCAATTTTCTATTTTTAAAGGATCTTTGTCTGTCTTAGGGAGCAGAGTTATAAGACCTTGTTTCATGGTTGTTGTCATTTCTTGCCTACTTATACATTCTTTGAACATCAGAAAAAGGTGACTACCAATTAATTCCCAAAAACAAAGACAGAATTCTACTGAGAGTCCGTCGCTACCAGGTGACTTTCCTAACTTCATTGAATGCAAAGCATCTGTAATTTCTGGAAATAAAAGCTCAGCATCACAAGAGTCTTTAAAGGCCTCCGATATCAGAGGTGTAAACATCCTAATATGATTTAAGAATCTGTCACAATTAGTCTGATTAAATTTTGTAGAATACAAATCACTGTAAAATGAGGTAGTATAATTGGCGATCATAGCAGTGTCTGAGTTTATTATACCATTAATATTAAGAGCCACAATGTTGTTTCTTTTCCTGTTTCTTTTTTCTAGAGCAAAAAAGTAACTAGAATTTTTCTCTCCTTTCTCTAACCACTTAGCTCTAGACCTTATGAATGCACCCTTAGCTAAATTGACATACATTTTATCAAGTTCATCTTTTAGATTGGACAGAACTCTTAATTCACTTTCAGACAAGTCTTGCTTAGATATTAGGGGCTCTAATTTAACAATTAAATGTTGCATTTTATTTGTGTTCTGTTTCTGTATTTCTTTACATCGTTTTATTGCTGTTTCCCGAACCTTATATTTGAAAAACTCCCACTTTTGAATTGGATCCATCTCTCTTTCCTTAAAAATTTTCTCAACCAAAAATGAAACACTTTCCTTAAAATTTCTATCTTCCAAAAGGTCATTGTTAAATTTCCAATAGCCCCTAATACTTGGTCGTTCTTTAACTCCTTTTAATCTAAGATTTATTAATTTATGATCAGATAATGGGGCATGTGAGTGAGAAACGTCTGTGACATATTGTAATCCATGTGTAGACATTAACCATAAATCTATTCGTGACTGGGAACTCCTGCTAGAATTGGACCACGTATATTGTGTAGCGTCAGGGTTCATATATCTCCACACATCTGTAAGATGGTAATTTGCGCTCAAAAATTCAGTAGGTTTGAAACTTATTGATGTAAACCTTGGAGGAAGCCGGTCCACAATATCATCTGAAACATCATTAAAGTCACCTCCAATAATTAAAATGGGGTTATTGTATTTTGCTTTCAAAAAATCCAACTTTAAAGAAAATTCCTGAAAAACAGTTCTTGCATGAGACGGATTATTTGGGCCATAAACATTTCCAATAATAAAATGTTGGTTATCCAATTTCACAGCCAACATAAGCCAGCGACCTTCATTTGACATTACAGACTGCAGTATGTCACCACAAAATCTATTTAACAGAATTGCCGTGCCAGCAGAGTGATTTGAGCCATGAGAAAAAAATATGGAATCCCCCCATTGTGACTTCCAAAACTTTTCATCATCCTTGCATGAATGAGTCTCCTGCAGAAAAACGAAGTCTGCATTGCAGTTCCTACAAAATATGAAAATTGCCTTTCTTTTTGTGATTTCCCGTAGACCCCTAACATTAAGCGAACAAACATTTAGTGCCTTAAAACTAAAACCTGCCATATTTGAACAAATTGCTGATGTCAATAACAATCACCGAGAAGAAAAAAGATGAAGAAAAATGAAAAATAATAAAAGAATAGTACTTACGAACCTTTAACCTTAACTGCAAGTACCCATTTGCTTTATGCGCATTTTTTAAACCTTTTTCAAGTATTAACTGAAAATAATTTTACCAGCATCCATCGTCACACAGCTTTAAATCAACATCTAGCGAGTAACTTTTTTCCCTTCTATGTAAGCATGAGGGCCTCTAAAGCCAGCACGCTTTCCTTGCTTCCTAGCTTCCTCCACTATCGGCCACAACCGATTTCGCTCCATCCGGTCAGCCTGTGTCAGATCTTCCTTCAGGAACAGTTTCTTCTCTTTAAGTGTGTTGTTGTCACGGGATACCTTCCAGATCTTGTTTCTGAAAGCTCGCATAGTGAACTGAATAATGACAGGTCGAGTGGAATTGTCCCGGACTACACCAACCCTGTGCACAGTATCAACAAGGAAATCCAACTTTTCTTTATCCTCTGGTGCAAGCGCAACGAAGAGCTTCATTATCTCCTCTCTGATGTTTTCCCCCGGTGTTTCTTTCTTGCCATACAGCCGCAGGTTCCATCGTCTGCTGTATCGTTCGGCATCATCACTTCTTTGCTGCTCCTTAACCAACTGCTCCGATACATCTTTAATCATGTTTTCGTTCTTCTGTACATGCATTTCAACTGCTTTTAGCTGATCACAGACATTAGCGATAACTTCTGTATTTTTAGTTATTTTTTGCTCTAGCGCTGCAAAGCGGCCAGATAGTTCCATTACGGCTTTCAAGATGTCATCGTTAGATGTTCCTTCAGGTGAGATGTTAGCTGATTTTGCTTTTTTTGTATCAGGGCTCTTTGTGGGTGTAACAGGTAGTGGAGTGAAAGCAGCATCAAAGTCCTGCATACCTCGTTGCAGTAAAGAGGCTTCCTCTTTGGAAATTTTCGGTCCTCTTTTTGCCATTTCAAAAGATTGAGCTGAGATGACTGTAAGCTAGCCAGCTAGA